CGACGGGTGTGATGCTTGTTTATGAGGTTACATTCTAGCATGAGTCTAGCATGTGCTAGATCACCCCAAATAAGTCAAAACAAGCTAAAGCTGAAATCTAGATCAACATTGCATCCTCCAAGCTGGAATTCAGGGTCTAAAATCTTACTCAAAAGACTTCACTGGCTCTGTGGCAATCTCAATTTTAAGAACAATTTTGCAGGCTTCTGGATAATTAATATAAAGCGTATAGAAAGATTTGCCAAATATATAGTGCTATATAAATCCATTAAGTTCCTTGCAATTTAATTACAAAAACCGTAAGAGTAATGCTGATGAATGCTGCAACCCAGTATCTGCATCAGGCATGTTCTGCTTTGCTGGCTGTTAATGCTGCCTTAAATGTCTAACCAGACGCATACAAAGCTGCCATTATTGGCTGAGAACTAGAAAAAAAATCAACTGACTGAGTTTTTCTTTTTAATACAGTTGATGCTTGGTCTCTGGCTTTTTCACCTGATTCCCAGTACCTTGCCACAGGAAGTCACGTGGGAAAAGTAAATATTTTTGGCGTTGAAACTGGAAAAAAAGAATACTCTCTGGACACCAGAGGGAAGTTCATCCTTAGCATTGCATATGTAAGGAGTGCATCTGATTATCTCTTACAATTGCTGTTGTAATATGTTGTAAATGGGCTTTTTTTTTTTCCCCCATCCATTACTGTACTTCTACGTGCTTTGAAGGTTGCAAATTCAAACTGCCTGACATTCCCTGGTGAATATCTGGAAAATATACTTAGTCCACACATTGTGACTAAGCAAGCTGAAGTCTGCAGGAATTTTGGAGCCCAAATATCTTAAATACATCATGTTTGTGATGAGTTGCCAAGAAAGTGTGTGCATATGGGGGGTGGTACTTAGCATTAAATGATACACATTTAGCAGCTGTCTGAATTTATATTCTGTGTTTTATTGCAGAGTCCAGATGGAAAATATTTAGCCAGTGGAGCAATAGATGGCATTATCAATATTTTTGATATTGCAACTGGAAAACTTCTGCACACGTTAGAAGGTAATGGTTTGCATATTCATGATACTTAAGTTCTGGCTTTATTCCTGAACAAAAATAAAGTTTATAATGTAAGTCAGAATGAGATGCAACAGGCATGACATAAATAAGTTGATATTTCTGTCCATTAGACATTTTTCAGTTACTTACTTAGCATGGTCTAATACTTAAAACATTAGAAACAAACTGCAACTCAGCCTTGTATCATGAATGCCTACCTTAAAACATATAGCCAGTAAAGCTGAGTTAATTCTTAAATTGCAGTTCTTGTATTGCAGTATAGTACAAGTGAATGAAGCTAAGCCAAATCTGTGCTACTATATCTTTTCTATATCTTTTCTTTTCATTACAATATCCAGCTTTGTATGGTTCCCAGATTTATAGTAACTTGTTCCTGTTAAAAGAACTGCATATTTTACACCATAAAAGACTTGCATTTTTCTCACAGATGAACGTGCTTTTAATGTCARTGCAATTTCTCTCCAGCCCTGTAATATAATTACAAGATCCCTGCAACTCAAAATATTATGAAATTATACTAGAAAATATGATGTTGATCGTATTAGAAAGCACTATGATATCATATTTCCCTCTGTATTTCCCTCTGGGTTCTAATTAGGACAGTCCTGTGTTGCAGTGACCGTGGCTTARTATCACAATTTGGAGGTTCCTGTCAGCTGCTGTTGTACACTGTGTGAAGAAGCTTGTAGAGGCACATAGAGACAGGCTGTTCAGCTACAGACTGCTTTCTTTCAACAGGGAACCCCATCCTCTCGCAGCTCTAGCACTGTCGTTAGTACCAGAAATGGCTGCGTTCTGAGCTGTGTAACTTTGCTTTTCAGGTCATGCGATGCCTATTCGGTCCCTGACATTTTCTCCAGATTCCCAATTACTTGTAACTGCTTCAGATGATGGCTATATCAAGATCTATGATGTGTAAGTTGTGACAGGACATGATAACAAGAAAAMCATCTATTCAGAGAGGCTGCTTTCTAATTCCCTTCAGCTTTTGTAGTTCTACATAATATATCAATTTAAATGATAAGCACAGAATCCTATATATTTAAGAGTGTAGATGTGTGTTAACAGCCTTAAAATGAAAAGTTATGTCTTTCCTTATAGTTGGTTCTATAGGAAATAGGCTAAGTGGTTTGTGTACTTGACATGTTTCTGTTTACCCATCTTAAACTTCTGTTATGAACTCAAGAAATGTTTTTGTTTGCAACTTGTTCTCTTGCGCTTTGCTGAAACTTGGAGGATCAGGGTTGGGGGAGGCACTGCTTCGGTGATCTCAATACCCTTAAACCTGCATTACTGTTCCCTCTTCATGAAAGTCACATYTTCCTATGTTAACTATTTGTAGTGGAAATATCTAGTGTAAAAATGCCAGTCAGCTTGGAGGAATARATGTCCAGAAGTGACTCTGTGACCTGCCAACCGTTCCTGATTGCATTATCTACAGTTAATGTCTGTGACTTTTTTTTTTTTTCCTCTGGGATTCACAAACACACTATTAATGTTAGAACTATGTTTTTTTGTTTGTTTGTTTGTTTTCCCTATAGACAACATGCAAACTTGGCTGGCACGTTAAGTGGTCATGGATCTTGGGTATTAAATGTAGCATTTTGTCCTGACGATACTCACTTTGTTTCCAGGTACTGAACATTTTAATTTGTTTACATATACTTAAAAACTCTCTCTCTCTCTCTCTCTCTCTCTCTCTCTCTCTCTCTCTCTCTCTCTCTCTCTCTCTCTCTCTCTCTCTCTCTCTCTCTCTCATTCATAAGGGCGACAGAACAGTTAATGTGGAATCTGTGACAGGTTAGCATATATTATTACACTATGGTAAAAGACAAAAGCCAACCTGTAATGTGATAGAACTGTAGTGAATAGTGTTCCAGTCTTAGTCACCTACCACTCCAGCTCCTGCAAGTGGAAGACATCTTAACCTAAGAGAAGAGTAATCCAAATTTTAAGTATTTGAAAAAGTGCCATTAATTTAACAAATACAGCCTAATATAGTTGTGTATATCAGTCTAGAAAAACTTTATTGTTAAYTCCTAAAATAGTACAGGTGGACCCTGTGATAAGTAATGGGAGAACTCTCATCAGAGAATTTTCTGGCTAAAACTGAAGTCATTTATTTTCATGTTGTAGATATGGAAATAATAAATATATTTTAATTGTAACTGGAACCTAGTTGAAGATGCAGTCCTGTGCAGTCCTGTGCTGCTTTAATCTTATTTATCTTATATATTCACCTTATATACAGGTGAATCTCTTGTATACTGTATGGGATCTTTAACCTCTAAACAGTGGCCAATTGTTAATTTAGGTATCGATCCATAATGTTCTTTTTTGTTTTCAGTTCATCTGATAAAAGTGTAAAAGTTTGGGATGCTGGAACAAGAACTTGTGTTCACACTTTCTTTGACCATCAAGATCAGGTATATCATCAATTTAAAATGGTCACGTCTGCTYTTGCAGACTATAGGTTTTTAATAGTCTTGTTCTATATTTCAATATGGAAATACCAAGCCGAGTTAAGATTTCCCATGTCCTGGCTCTTGTCTGTGTGCTCATGAATTTGTGGGAGGCAGAGGTGTATCACCCTTGGTGTAAGGCAGGCCTTTACACAACTAGTGCCAAATAGCCCATGAGATTTCCCCCAAAATGCCCCTATAAAGACAACTGCTTTATAATCTCATTTTAGAGCCTTTCTTCTTCTTGGTGTTGTCCTGGTGATGGGGATATTGAAGTGTTCATTTAACTGTCATATGTTTAAGTCTCAGGACTGATCTGAATTTCTTCATCAGTATCAGTGCAAAACATAATTAGTCCAAGGATGACCACAGTCTCTCTTGAGTCTGTCATGATCTGGCCTTTTTCAGTCTGCATGCAAACTATTTCATTTGCTTTCCTAAAGCACTTAGGAAGCACTAATTTCAGAAATGAAGRCAAGCTGGGTAAGAAGGAAAATGGTTGATAATCCTGGATGGCAGTCCTGGGCAGATTCACTGCAAATGCAATCTAAGAAAGCACACCAAGGCTATTGGCCCAGAGAAGTGGAAAGGCCAAAAGAGACTGGCAACTAGGTGGCACTGCTTTACTGTGGGTCATCCAGCTCAGCTGCTGYTCAAAGTGCCCTGTTACACTTCATTCCAGGTTATAGGCTCCCGCTTCAAGGGATCCTCTTTTGCTTCCTGCTGTTGAAAAATATTTGCTGCATCATAAAAACATTGATTTTATTTTCTTGGTTTTTTTTCTTCTCCGTAACCTCTTGCCTATCCCCTTTTGCAGGTTTGGGGAGTGAAATATAATGGAAGTGGTTCCAAAATTGTATCTGTTGGAGATGACCAAGAAATCCATATTTACGACTGTCCAGTTTAAACAACCTCTGGCCTTTTGGTTAAGCAGTTCTTATGCTACTGTTTATAAATATTTTTTAATATAACTAAGCATTTTAGTAAGGCTAATCTGAATCAAACTCAAGATGTTTAGATGTAACCTTGATTGTGTTTAGCATGGGAGATTTCTTTTTCTAAATAAAAAAAAATAAAGATGGAGGGGAAAAAACTTGTGACTAAGGCTTGGAAAAAAGTATTTTGGGAAAATATGTACTCCTGGGTAAAATAACTGAGCAGTTAAGTCCACTACTGCTTTTTCTTTCCTGACTTTATATAAATAGACTGGAGCTGGGATTGAGCACATCTAATAACAGCTCCGTGACTGCAAGCAGCTGGAGGCAGGAGAAGGGATAGTCCTTGCTCATCCTGGTGGCAGGGAGGGGTCATTTAAGTTGAACACCTGTTCTAGCAATTGTAYGTTAAGAGAAGGCACATTAATCATCCTTCACTGGTGATTCTGGGGGTAACTATCTGACTTCAGCAGGGAAGGGCAAGGGGAAGCTGTTTACCAAACCAAGAAAAACAAAAAGGGGGGAAAAAACAGTCTAATTATTTTACTAGAGTACAATGAGGAAGTGGGGAGGCCGGAGATATTTTATGACAGTTAAGATCTGACTCTCCCACCTTCAACAGGAACAAAATAGTCTCTGCCACAAGAATAAATAGACTGAGATTCAGAAAGGTCAAGCTTACTTAATATTAAGATGGAAGTGATTTAAGAATAATGAAATGGTGCACTACATGTGTAAATTATACTTGTAAGGAACAGAACTGTTAAAGAAGTAGCCTTCCCTGATCAAGTCTACTGCAAGGAAAGAAGAGTACAGTTAAGTCAAGAAGGGAAGAGCACAAGTTTCCTTCTTTGAAGAAAGCACRGAAAGCAATTTAACAGTGACAGGGGATGACACAGGTAAAGTCTAACCTTAAAAGGGGCCTAAATAKGATTCTATAGTGGGTAAGAATATGATAAATGTGAAGAATGCAGTTTATTAGAAGTCATTTATGCTATCTTTTATTCTATGAAATTAATTTTCCAGTATGAAAATATTTACATAAGACACTCCACTTAGCTCTTATGAATATTGCAAGTCTTATATAAATAGCATAGGTGAAATAAATTGAGAACCTTTACAGCAAAGGAAGATGTATACCAACTCAGTTGGTTCTCAGCTGTGTAACATTGGCCTTATATATAAAGACTACAAGAACACAATATAAATTAGTTACAAAAAAAGTGATAGTGACAGCGCAGCAACTCAATTTGCTGAACACAAAACCCACAAGCAGTGGCTATTACAGCCATGCAGTTTTCATTGTGAAAATTTACATTTTAGATGACACACATTCCACCTTGCTTTAAGATGTTTGACACTGTACTCCTGTTCTTGGGCCCTCCTCATCTTCTTCATATGCTTCTCCCCCACTGTTACGGTAGGTTTGCTCACTTGGATCGAAGTCTTCTAGGTCAACTTGGTCCATGTCATCTGTGATCATTACATCTTCTCGGGGAGGAAGCAGAGCCTCCAGCAGAGATAGTTTCTCCCTTGGAAGCCAGTAGTGCTCTGGGAACTGGACCTGCAAGGAATTTTTTTCCCCCCCAAAATGAATAGATGCCTTTTATGATAAATCATTTGCTACAGAAGAGCAAACAGTCAACTTACCAAGAACTGTATAATTAAGCTGCCTTTGTCCAGTGGAGATTTATAGATAGGCATCCCTTCATTCTGGATGCACTTCAAGTCACCATGTTTTATCACTTCACCTGGACACAGATAAGAGCTTTAAGTAATCTTAAATGTATTTCATAACCACAAAATTTTAAAAAGCTTGTGTCCCTAGAGCATCTAGGGGATATTCCAAAGCAGCCAAGAGAAATCATAATTAGAAAAAAAATAGAAACATGCTATAGAGACTACACAAAATKATCTCATCTAGGATTTATCTTTCCACTAATACAAGAGAACTAGCTTCTCTTAGCACAGCCTTCAGACTGAATTAATTATGAAGTACAGCTCAAGTTCCTGGAATCCTGAGTTTTTCCCTTGTCACTCCACCAACAGAGGTAGGTTTAAGACCTACATGAAGTTTTGTGCATGTAAAGCTTACATATAGCTTTAGCTGTCTGCATATGCAGTGTTTTGGAAGGAGTGGCAAGAATGATAAAGGGCTCAGTGAATTAACTGACTTTAAGCACCAGCTGAATTTGTTAGCTGCTGAAAACATGTTCCAGTACAATGAAACTTTAAGCAAGCAGTCTATATAGCATCAGAACCTGGAAGGCCTACCTGGTCTAGATGTTATTACAAGGACTCTGTTATCAAGAGTTTCAATGGTCTTTTTGAAGCCGCATAAAGCCTCTGAGAGTTGAATTCTCATTTTTGTAATTAAGTCATGCCCTCGCCTCTGAAAGACACTATGATCCTTCTGATCAAGCACAATTATAACATCACCAGGCTCCAGATCGGGCTCCTGATCGCCTTCTCCATGAAATACTATCTTCTGACCATCTTTCATACCTAGGAAAAGGAAAATACATTTTCTCTCTACAGAAATATTAGACTACAAACACAGACACAAAAAATATACAAGTCTTACCTTTATCAACATGAACTTCTATTATCTTTTTCTCTCTTACAACCTTACAGCCATTGCAGGTGTCACACCTGTCCTTTGGATTTATTCTTTCACCTTGGCCTTTGCATTCTGGACACACAGTTTGGATTTGTTGTACCATACCAGGTCCAATCTGCTGAACTATAACTTGCATTCCTCTTCCTTTACACACAGGACACTTTTCTACAGATCCTTTCTTTCCACCATAACCTTCAAAAACAACAACATCATCATCAAATCTGATCTCAGTCTCAGAGGAGAGAAAAAACAGGTGCATTCATTCAACAATAGTCTACAACTCATTGGAAAACCACAGTTTTTAGCTTTGAGAGAACTTTTGATGTTGCTTCTACACAAATTGTTGTATATTTCCAATGTAACTGGAATTTAGTTTCCAAGACAAAATGTGCCCTAAAATTTAGAGTTTCTACAGGCAAAATAGAGCTTTTTTTTTTTGAATGTAGTATTTCATTTTGCTTCCTCCACTCAATGCATTTTGGTTTTCAAGGAACTATCAGCATACTGACTTCAAGAGACACATGTTCCATTAATACTTTGTAAAGGATGTTGGCTAAAAATTTAATAAACTACTAAGATGTAAGATCTCATTAAAAGCTACCTCAACATGAGGAGTCATTGGAGAGACTTAATTTTAAGTTGCATAACATAAGCAAGATTTCTACCCACAGCAATTCTAAAAGGAGGCTTTAACAAAACAGCTGTTACTAAACCTACAAATTAAGATACTCTTAATTAGGATGCCCTTCATCATCATTCCCAGGGACTTCAAGACTGCTATTAACTAGTTTTGCACTATGATGTTATGAAGAAATCGCCTAATTCCTGGATAAGTATAGGCAAAAACAGTCTAAAGGCTAACTATATACCCTGCAGACATTCAGAAAGTCACTTTGTTTCCTTCCTCCCCTACCTATATACATATATATATACACATATATTTGGGGAGGAGGGCAGGAGATAAAGAGTGTTCGAGACCACTTGTTTTACCTTCACATTTGGAACAAATTACGTTCTTTTGCAGTGCCAGTTTCCTTGTAATACCATTATATAAATCTTCCAGAGATACACCTAACTGGTGCACAACATTCTTGCCTTAAAGGAAAAAGAAAGATTAGTTTTGGTTCAGCTATTATGAGGACTAATGTTTATTTAAAAGTTTCTACACTTGTTCATACATGCACAGTCTCACTGAAGAACTGTAAAGTTCATTCCAAACTTTCAATAGAGCTCAGCCCCTTTAAAGCATGTGCARTATCAGCTTCCAGAACTACACCCACTAAGGTCAGAACATAAAGTTTAGCTGCAATTAAGCAAAGCATCATTAAAGCCACTTGAGCCCTCCTTTTGGCCCTAATTTCATAAGCTTAACCGAAACAGCAAGATGTAAGGACACTACCAGCTTTAGTTCTAGACAATTTAGACATTGCTATTATGCCTACCTATGTATTTCCATGCCACTTTGTAGCATGACTTTAAAAGATTTTGCAGCAATTTACCACTTGCTCTTTCAACAAAGATGGAGGATGGAAAAAGAAACTGCACTGTGCTTTTGGCAGCACTTTGTACTTAATTTCATATTTTTATGTGGTATTTTCCCCACAAACTTATATAGTGTTATATCTCATGAAAACATTTAAGTTGATGGTGTCCTTTGAAGCAAGTCACCCAAAGCATTATGAGCAAGTGAGGCAAAGATCTGTAAAGAACATAACTTAAAACATGTGAGCTGCTCTAACCATCTCTTAACCAATAGCCTTCCCCCTCCCCTCCAGATTAAATACCCATTTTGTTAAAATACCGATTTTAACAAAAATGAACAGAAGAGCTGATCATAAAGATTGCTATGGCTGTATCACATTATCATCCATTTTATTATAATCTTATTACTAATAACAACTAAAATTATAGCTTACTTGATCTATGGCAACTAATAATAACCACACTATGTGCACTTAGCAGAACAGCAGTACCACAGCACATGTGTTTTATGCTTAAGTGCATGGTTAGAGTTTCTAGAACTTGTTTAGAACTGTGTACCTCTTCTCTCTCTATTCATTCGGCCTCCACCACCAAAGAACATGTCAAAGATGTCCATGGGTGAAGAGAAGCTGCCGCCACTCAGGCCTCCTTCTTTAATAGCCTGCTCCCCACCCTGGTCATAGAGGTCCCTTTTCTTTGGGTCCGACAGAACTTCATATGCCTGGGATATGAGTTTAAACTAAAAAGAAAAAAGAAGTTCTAAACAACTATGACCAAGAGGAAAAATAACCCTCTTAYACACAACTGGATCTTCAGATGGATTAGCTATGAGATTTTCTTGTAGCAATTTCCCTTTTTCCAAGGGGAACCTCCCTAAACAAACATGTAACAGACTTTTGTCCAGGAGGACCACCCCATTCCTCCCTCCCCCCAGCCCACACAYCACAAGTGAACCAAGTTCAGTCATATCTAACTTAAAAGCATACACAAACTATAGCTCTTTGATCATGGTGTTAGTTGCAGCCATTACACAGCTCTGACAAGGCCCTGCTGGAAGGGATTCAATACTACCCCTTAGTCTTGGGGATTTCCCCCTGGCCACAGCAGTACCAGCCACTCTAGTACTGCTACACAGGATCCTTCACRGCAGCTCTGCTGCTATATCCAGCTAAAACTAGAAAGAGATTTAACCTTAAGTGACCAGATACTAGTGTTGACTACTAATTGCAAATAGAAGCATTCAAGAACAAAATGCCGGCTTTATCCCCAAAATTAGACTTTCTTTTTAAAGCTATCAAGGGTTTTCTTCTGTTGCTGAAGTGAGTGATTCCAGTTTGAATGWGAATTACTTATGACTGGGTAAACTGGTAAATAAACCAAAAATGAAAGCTGGAAGGTTTAGTTTTGCACTGCAGAAACAAATAGTTTCTGCTCCTATTTAAGGCATTAATGAGGCTATCATTCAAGTTTAATTAGTTTTCTCTCACTCTCCAAATATGGCACTCCTTTATCTTCTTGGGCAACAGAGGCAGGCAAGTGCCCCTAATCACATGTAAGACTTTTTTCTGTAAATGGTTCACCTCCATACTGTCCAATGTCTTCTTCTGGACTGTTATCTTCTACATCTGCATTCCCAGTTCCCTGAAAAACTTCCCTGTGTTTGGGAGCACAACTCCATCCAGCACAATCCCAACACACAGGGCAGCCCATGCAGCCAGTGCCAGCACTGACCTTCATAGCAACTGATACAGCATGAGGGCCATCAGGACACTGGCAAGCACTTCATCYTTGCCTGTTTTAACGGGCATCACCCCTAAGAACTGCCACCCATCTGCAGCTGTAAGCCACAAGGGCACCAGTAGAAGCTGTGCTCAGGAAAGGGGGAGCCAATGGGCCCAGTTCTCCTTTAGGCCTCGGTGCCTGCCTGCTATCACCAGGCYTTACTGCCAGGCTCCACGCTCGCTGCAGAGCAGGAATCTCCAKTGAACTGCACTATACTGCAATAAGAGCCACACTTTGGGCCGAAGGGGAATTTAACCCGAAATAAAGGGAGGTCCTGGGCAGGCGAGCAGGGCCCAGGTCCGCGCCGGCCCGGCCCCCGCCCCCGCAACCCGCCCGAGCTCCGCCTGCTGCGGGCGCCCATCTTGAGGCCCGGGCCCGCTCCGCGCTGGCCGCCCCGGTGCGCGCCTACCCGCTCGCCCTCGCTGGGGTTCTTGTCGGGGTGGTACTTGAGCGCCAGCTTGCGGTAGGCGCGCTTGATCTCCTCCGAGGAGGCATTGGGCTTCACCTGCAGGATGTCGTAGTACTCCGTCTCCTTCACCATGGTGCCTGCGGGCGGGAGCACTGCGCCCGTTAACGGCTGCCGGCGGGGAAGGCCGAGACCGCCTCGCCCCCCCCTTCCCCTCCCCAACGGCCGCCCCTCTGCTCCGCCCCGCCCCAACGGAGCGCGGCGGCGCCCCCCTCCCTCCCTCACCGGCGCGGCCGCCCCGCTGCGCTGCGCCCGCCGCCGCCGCGCCGCTCACTGCAAAATGGGCCCCGCCCCGCCTCTCCCGCGCTTTTATACCGGCCCCGGCCGAATCTTCTGGAATGACGCCGCCCTACGTCACCGCTCTGGAACGCTCTAGAAGTCCCGCGCGTGACGTCACCGCCCGGTAGAGCCGCGGGAGGGGGCGGGGCCTCCGCTCCCTTCTTCCGGCGGCGGCTGCGCTCTGCGCGGGGCGGCATCAGATAAGATGGCCGGCCTCCTCCCGGCTCGCCCGGGCCCGGGCCAAGCGGCGGCCTCGGCGTTTGGGGCCTGGCCGGGAGCGCCCGCCCGCCGCCCTTCTGAGGGCACGGACACTGGGGAGGAGGCCGSCCGGGGCGCCGGTTACTGGGGGGAACAACAGAAGGAGCCGGTGCGGAACGTCGTAACGTGTCTGTGCAGAGGCTGTGCGGAGTAGGGACAGGCCGGGTTCAAGTTTAAGATCAACAGAAACCCTTGCAAACGTACCCACTTGAGTGGAAAAAAATAAAAATCTGTCACCCAAAGATTGCAGTGTTCCAGGAATGGCAGCGGGAATGGAGCAGGTAAAAAAAAAAAAAATATAGAAGGTAAAAAAAAAAAAAATATAGTTCAAACCACATTAAAAAAATGGTTGGAAATTACATTTTTTTGCAAGCAAAATTATCAACATTAAAATATATTAATCTATATTTTGCGATTCCAAATTTATATTGAAAAGTAAGTGTAGAAAACATAATATCAGAATGCAACTTGTTAATTTGTAAATCTAGAAGCCTATACTTTTTTGAAGAGACACCAGTTTATTCTAGTGATGGTATTCACCTTAAAAATAAATAAGCTATAATGTTACAGTGCCGGAGATAATATTCTCCGTTTTAAGAATAGATGATAAAGATGTTAATAGCTTTAGAGCAGCTGAACATTTTAGCAGGTGGGAGAGTTTGTGAGTGCAGTGAAATTCACTGAGATGGATTTCAAAGGTTAATTTAAAACAATTGTAAAGAGCTACCCGATAGCTTCTGTGAGTAGAAACCCTCCTATTAGTATAAATACATATTGGTAAAGTTGAAACCAAGAGTTATGGGTAGTTTCTCACTAGCCACAGCTGTAGTACCCTGCCAAAAAACTGCCTGGTATGTGTGTGTCTTTGCTGGTGAGCACTGGGTCTGTCGCTTGGTTTACTTTCCTCTCACTTTATCAGAGTGAGCTATCAGGTTATATTTACCTGTGACTGTCTTCAGTATCAGGTATTTGTTTTCTCAGTGTTGTGTTCCAGTTGGGACACCCAGCTCGTTATTTATTTAGAGAATTAGTGGGAGAAGTGGTAAGGTAGTAGGGCTTGGGTTTAGGGTAAGTACAGGAGTTACCAGTTTGTCGGTCTGTTTTTCACCTCACTTGCACCTCCTGCATCCCTGCAGTCTGAGAGCTGCCCAGGGGAATAGGATCCTGCTTCAGCTCTCCGAAATGTTTCCTGTTTGCCAGTGGAGAAAGGAGAGGATTGCTGCACMGCTGATTTAGCTCCATGCCACTGCTCACAATAAGTGGTAAATGCAGTGCGTTCCTTAAACATGCAGACGTGCTGTTTGGCAATTACAGCACTGGTTGCACTATCTGCTTGGCTACCCCAGTGACAGGGGTAGGTGACATGGGGGGTGTGCCTATGTTTCTTCTGCTACACCTTGCCTCCTAAGGGTTTGTTCCTACTCTGCAGATGCTTTCCTCTTTCTCAGATGACCATCTTGACTCTTCTTTCCTTCCTGCTGCCTTGCAGTGCTCTGGATCGCCTCACTTTTTACTCGCCAAGTACCGGATTTGCACGTATGTTTAAACAGAAAAGCAAGGTGAGGAGTGCTGTTCTTTGCAGGTGGGCAGGCCTGGGCTGCGAGCAGGGTCACTTAGTTCCTACTGCTTTTTTTTTTTTTTTTTAATGTAACCATCAGAGAACGCTGCATTTTYATCTAAAATGGGTATCCTCACTGCTGCCATAAACACTACCTACCACCTGGCCTGTGGCAAACACAGCATCTTCATGTGCTGCGACCAGTGTGTGTTTCTCCTTTAATCTCTGCTGTACAAAATGCTCTTAAATAAATCTCCTTGTCTGTATTTTTTTTCTTTTATCTGATCAAACACCACCTCTCATAAATTACGTCTTCTAAATAGCAAAGCTGTTATTGCAAGCAACATCTCAGAGGCCAAGATGCAAATTGCTGCTGACATGAAGAGCTGAGTTGCTGCTTCTTGCAGCATTCCTGGGTGCTTTTAGGATGCTTTTGTTGTTGGCACTGAAGGAGCTTTGTGATTTTTTTTTTCTGATTTGACTGATTAGAAAACAGAATTCACTATTTTTTCACTCTTTTTCCTAGAAAGCAGAATTCACTGTTTTAAAGGCAAAATGAAATTCTCATTGTTGTGACAGGGCTAATGAGAGAAAACACTTTTAAAGGGGGTTTGCTACTGAAAATTTGAAATATTGATACATGWAGCTGATTATGATGGTGAGTTTTGTGGCATAAACTGTGTTTTTCTTGATGAATGTACATGAAGTAGTGTTTCTATTATAGCCTAGATATGTTGATAGAGATTTGCTTTGGTTCTGTAAGTACAGGGTGACACAGCTGAGGTAGAAATTACACTTTTTTTAATCTGAACTTCTTCATAAAGAGTGTGTGTTGAGTTTAAACAGGCACAGCTTGTCTGGGCCTTCTCATTTTGGAATCTGCTCTCATCCTSTGCTGCTTGGCCCGAGTTAGCAAAGATTTTTTGATCTTTAAGATATGCTTTGAGACTCATTTGTTTAGTAAGACTTAATGCAGCTACAGCCAAAATCATCTTTGCAGAAATGTTTGGGTTTTTCATTAGTAGATTTTATTGTTCACAATTTTGCTTGAACTCTGGAATCTGCTCTAGTTCAAGAGGAAGTGCTGAGTTAGCTATATTTTTATTTTGGTTTAAATATTTTAGAGACCAAAATTTAATAAAAGAAGCAAAAGAAAAGTTTTTTTTTGTTTTGTTTATTTGCTTGTGGGTTGGTTTTTTTTTGGTAAAAGTGATATGTAATCACGGTAAATGAAATAAATAGCCATTCAGGAAAACAGCAGATAGAGAGTTGGTGTTATTAGTAGCAAGCTGGAAAACTGCCAGGCTGTAAGAGGACTGATGCCGTGGTGTCATTTTTATGACAAAGTGTCATAAAGTCTTTGAAATAGAAACTGTAAAAGTAGCAGATATTTTGCTGGGGTTTTTTTTTTTGTTTGTTTGTTTTTTTTTGGAGGGGGGGCAGGCTGGCTGCTGGAAGTCCAGAGTAACAGTAGGACTTTCAGCTGAATATCACACTTGTAACAGAAAACACTGTTTAACACTCTTAGGTTTGTTACCAATTAAAGAATTTAAAACTACGGGCCTGTAACTGAGCTGTTTGCTGCAGGTTTGTTTGGTGATGCAAGTTAACAACCCACTTGAACGAAGCGGGCCGAACAGCCAGGAATATCCATTACAGACACCCTTCACCATCTGTTTTAAAGAAATGTAAGTTTCCCAGGAGAGCAAAACCCCTCTTTTCTTCCAAGTGAGGGCATGAGGGAGCGCACAGCCCTGTKATCTCATGTTCCCATAGCGGTGATGTGATTTAGACCTGAGATATCCTGACCTGAAGGGGTGCCGTGTACTCCTCCCACGCTGAGCCTGATCTCTGTGTCGCAGTTCAGCTAGTGACTGACCATGGAAACAACATAGCTTTGTTTTGGCATCTGTAATATTTCTGTTTGGGATCTTGTGACAGTGCAAGTTTGCAGGGGCAGTGTCTTTAACACAAAGCGTCAGTCACTAATTCCTCAAAGGTACCAATCGTAATTGTGCAGCAAAGGGTGTAAACACTACATGGGCTTTATTCGTCTCCTAAAATTACCCTCATAACTTCGTGAGCTTGTCACAACCCAGAAATGTTCACCTATAACTGGAAAGAGCAGCCCGTCCCACTGCAAACATTCAGTCTGAGTCTTAACGCAGTCCCATGCTAGCTGCATACAGATGGATAGAAGCGTGAAAGAAAGTGGCTATGCTAATGGCATCCTGTAAACTGCAACTTGTGGAATCATCTAAAGGTGCAGACTGTTCATTACTGAACACTGCATGTTAGCCATCCTTACTAGGATTTATTATTTAAAGAATACCTGGAATTGTTGCACCAAAACAGCACAGGCAAATCGAGTGCAGAGCATCTTGTTACAGTATCACACCCATTCATATCTCTTTCATTTCAAATTGTACYGTACAGAAGCAATTGTTTGTGGTACAATATAGACTAGAATAAAATACAGATCTTCATAGAAAATTAGTCTAAACTGATGTTTCCTAATCTTATATTAATCTGTTCACTATGGCTGTGGCTATAGGGTAAGTAAAGCACCCCCAAGCATGTTTTCTGGCCCGGAGGCCAAGTGGCACGGTACAGCTTGTATCCCTCTCCTCCGCCTTCAGACAGGGTGGTGATTAACTCAGCCTCCCAGGAACAGCCCCTGGCCTGGGTTATCCCCGATTTCCCCAGGCACTGCAGGGAAATGCCAGCTGGCAGAGTCCAGCACCGACCCAGGGAAAGTGCTCACAGTGGGTGGCTTGAGCCATTCCCTGGATCCATTTCATTTACTAGTATGGAAGTAGCTGCAGCGGCTAAACTAGGCTTTCCTATATACCCAGAGCAGTTTGTTCAGTTGTCTACAGAAGCTAAATATATGGTAGGTTGAGTTTGGTGAGTCGAAATTAATGAAGTGCTGATAGTTGGGACACTAGTGAAGTGAGTGCTTGGCCATCACAGTACAGAGTTGCATAGGTATCACTGAACTTGAAGGCATTTCCTAATGTAATTAATCTGCATTTTCTTCAAGAAAAAGAACTTTGCATAATAGCCTCTTTTGAAATTCAAGTTAAGAAAAGCACAATAGCTTCAGCTTCTGGGAACTGATTCGCTGGAAATCTTGGCAAAAGGGAAGATTTGCATCTTAAAGCATTGTAAACTCATTAAAATTCTTCTCATGGATAATTAAAGAAAACTAAATTAAAAGGAAAGTTTAGCAGTAAGCGGCTCACGGGAACTGCGACATTTCAAGCATGTTAAAATAGGAGAGAAATAGCTTCTGTACCAGTAGTCTCCTCCTCTTGTATTACGTTCTTTTGCCTTTTTTTTTTTTTAAACAAATAACCAATTACTGTTGGTTTCTTCAGTTGTCTAAGTCGCTTATTTATGCCTGACCCGCAGAGTTCTTGAGCGTATTTGTGAGCAGCTTTAGAGGGCTTCTCAGCATGCCTAACAGTGGAGAGATCCTTATGAAAAAATTACAAGATGAAAATGCAATGAACATTACAGAAAGCTATGAAAACAGGTAAAAAGTAGCTTAAGTATTTATATTAACAAACTAATTTACTGTTTTTTCACAACTTAAGTTTCTSTTTATTACCGCTGAGTTCCACAAGAATGTCTAATCCTTACTAYGTAATACAGAGCAAGAAGTGTGTTTTATTGAGGCTAAAATGAAAGAAAATTGTAACAGATCTAAAATAATTCATTCTATTCTAACGTGTAATATTGCTGCAATCCTAACAACATTGTTCCTATGGACTGTGCTGTTTTCATCTTACTTGCATATATCTAATTTCATGATGTTCATTTTATAGCACAGAGGTCCATAGACTCAGAAACCAGCTCTGCACAAGCTTGTGTATAGATAACTGAGTTATCAAAAGTTTATCAGTTTATATTTTATAATCAGTTTATGTTTATCAGTTTAGCTGCCATGGTTCAGCTGCTTACAGCTTAGCAAATACATGGAATTCTAGCTGAAAATCCTCAGCTAAAAACACTGGTAAGCTCCTAGACTCTTATATTCCAGTAAATTAAATGAACAATGGCTTTTAAAGCAATGGAAAAGTTCAGGTAGTCCAGAAAAAGCGAGTCACACTTCTGTGCGTCCACTCATGTGTTGCTGGTGTTAAGAGTAACGTTTAAGACTTTTAAAGTTCAATATCAGTTGCTCTTCACGTGTTACCCATCGTAATCCACTCTGTGGACTTTCAGAATTAGCCTAACTGCACCTATAGAATTGGTGCAGTTCTTCCCTGATGAATTTGGTGSAATAAGCCTTAGTTACTGATTTGCCCTTCCCTTTGTCAAGTGWTTGAGCATCTTCTTCCTATTAAGGGCAAGAAAATTTGTACCCAACCCACCTTGTAGAGCARATGGTGGAGGAGAAAGGTAAGTACCTTTCTCAGACTTTTAATGCAGGTTTATTTATTTTAGAATACAAATCTCTTTCTTAGAATAATTTCATAGAAAACAAAACAAAAAACCCTTGAGAAGTGTTAGAGGATAACAAGGATAAGGTAAGCCTTACTGGCCACTCTGTCTTAGGCAGCACACGAGAGAAAAACATTCCTTTTCTCTTGATACTTCGTCTTTCTAAGGGCTGCTTCTGTTAAAAGAAGCTCTCCTRTCTTTCTAGAGTCTTTGGAAAGATGCATTTTAAGGATAGAGGAGCAAATCATGGCAAACAATTTAACTTCTTAGGATGACAATATTGTTGAATACTAAGTGTTCATCCCCACAGAATGCATTATTGTAGCACATTGATACTTAGTTTTCTSTTAGGTCTAACTTCGTGTTTGTTTAGGTAACAACTTTCATGGTAYGTCACTTAGAAGTTTTACTTGACCCTCTCAGATCAATGGTTGGTTTGGTCCATTTTCATCATCAGGGCTTCTTCTACTGTGGATTTTGTTTTCCTGGACAAGCCTGCACTATCTTAGGTGCTAATTCTAGACTAACATTTTATGGAAAAGATTTTTTTTTCCTTGAACCTTAAAATAGCAAAAGCTATAATAGTCACTTTTGTATAATTTGCCAAAAAAAAAGTGCTGTATAACTTTCATCAGTCTATACAGACATATATGTTGACTCTTGAAAGTTACAATTTGGAGAAGTTAGTGAATTTTAATCTATGCATTGTTCTACCCTGGACATACTTGAGCAAGAAAAGGCTTCCAGGTTATCCTTATTAAAAAAAATGCTGAAAGAGATTTAAAAAGAAATAGTAATTTGCAGTGACATTAAGGTATTGCTGTAGTTTAAGCTTCCTGTATTTTGTTCTAAAAGGTTGTTTAGCATACGCTTTGTTTCTGGTTTTCTTTTGAAAAGGATGTGACAAAGACTTGAATTTGAAATGCAGTTGATGCACTCAAAGCCTTTGGAGTAAAGACTTCTTTGTTATTATTTTGGAAAAGTCTATGCATATTTGTTTTCCTGTCCAACAGCGTTGTCCTCCTGGAGTGGAGGTTTCAGGTTGGGTAGCAAATTTTATCCATTTATTTTGTTTCCTGAAAGCGAGGCTTCAGGGGAAACAAAGTAAGATTCTAGCAAAAGGGACAGAGATAAAAACATCTTTTATAAGGCTGAAATTGAATGACTGTGACCTCAGAAATGAGAAAGAAGGGAAATAATGAGTTCTGTATAACCAAACTTTATTGCATTCCCTGTAAATAGGCATATAGAGGCAGCTGCTAGAATATTTCAGCCTCAGGGCTGGATTTTTGCTGTGTAGGTCAGMACAGAGCAAGAAAATCTGTACCAAGGTCAGTGAAGGGTTGTAGTATGCTCCAACTGTTGAATAGTGCCTTTCTGCCTAAAAATGCAGATATATTGTTCATTTCTTCTCATTCACCCACATAGTTCTTAGCTATCTGTAAAACTCATTTGCTCACTAAACAAAATGGCCTAATTCTTGGAAATATTTAATCATAACAAAAAGAAAGGAAAAAAAAAGGTTGGGGTTTTTTACTCTTTGGAAATGAAGACAGGCTTTACGGGAAGTTGTGTGCCAACAATAGCATACACTGAAATAGGTCTCAGCTGTTAACTTTAGGCTTGTTCTGTATTAAGCTTTCGTGTTCCTTTTAAAAATATATTTGTATGGGGGAAAGTTACATTAGTAATTTGAAAGAGCGGTTTAGTTTACTCTCTGGAGGCTAATTGCTTGTCAGATCAGCTCTCCCTTTTTGTGAGGGTAAGAACACATCTCGGCTGATGTGTGGCCCCTTTTTAAACCTCATGAGGATGTGAAAGCTAATTGAAAACTGTCTCTAACCCATTCTTTGAGGACAACGAACAGGGAAAATTTAAATAGAGCCAATAAGGAATATATTATAATATTGCCCTACATTATAAAGGGGAATAATWAGTAAATAAAGGAGACTGGCTAGAGTAGACAGCAATGCCCCTGCAAAGTACATTGGACTAAGAGGTGGGGACCATTCGGGACTCTTTACCTTCCCAGTAGGAGGTAAGAAGAAGCAAGTAATAAGGTAGGAAAAAAAATGCACTGAATTTTTAGTGTTTTAATGGTGAGTCTTATCTGTTTTTTCCCTTACATAGTGGAAAAGGAGAAAGCATCATTAAAATGCCTCATGTAACAGTTCCCAGCTTCTCACAGCTTGGAGATGTCATGTTTGCTCATAYGTGATGTGAATCTTAGTCTGGAGTTTCTATTTAGCCGATGTGCGATMGAAGCTTTGCTACTATGTTCTTATATATTGATTTAAGTCTGAGTGACTTCACTGTCTAGAATTCTAGGACAGATCTGTGATTCTAGATTTATTCTGAGGCCTTCGCCTGTTATCCCCTTCCCAGACTTCTCTTCCAAAGTACCAGACTCAGCACTTGCAAGATTAATGCAAAATTGGGAAAGAAGAATTACTTGGAATGGGAGCCAGATGATGAGGTTTAGTTTCAGAGTTTCTGGGCAGAGTGTCAAGATCATTAAGGTTTCAGTGATTCCCACTGGTAATTTAACCGCTCTCTTCTTGTGGCCAAAAGACTTGTCAGATGATTTCTTAASGATTCCATCTTGTTTTAAAACGCCACAGTGAGCTGCTGGAAACACTTACACCCAATGCAAAGTACTTTGGAATGTGCAGATGCAGACCCGGGTTGTACTATTGAAAGCAGCTCTCATGTCGTTTAGTGTTAGTGGAATGTGTATTGCTAAGGTGTCCTGGAGAACATGTAACAAAAGCTTAGGGGAGGAAAAACAAAAAAAGTTGCCATTGATGGAAAACAGCAGCAATTATTTATGATACTGGTCACGAAGAATGAGGAAGCCAAAGGTAARCCCTGCTTGGAAGAAGGATTTCTTTTTACCTGCTTTATTATGAAGTTCTTAAGCAAACAAGCAAGCCTCATGTGTCAAGAGAGAAAATTCATCACGTTGTCCTCCGCAGAAGCAAGCAATGAAAGATGAAAACACAATTAAGAAGTTCTGCTTTGACAAAAAGCTGYATGTTTTCCAGTTTAGCCTCATTTTTGTGAAATAAATAAGGTTTATACTTCATCACTAGGAAAGCCTAAGACAACACAAATCGGACAAAGAAGTACTTGTACAAATAAGGGTTTGCAAGGTTGCTTGCTAAGATAAATACATGCACATTACAAAATATTTCTTTGGGCAAGGCAGCCAGMGAGAAGAGTTTAATTGCAAGGTTGGAGGCTGTGTTATAAGAAATACGCAGTAACACGCTTGCTGGCACTTGAAAGTAACCTGGTGAGTGAGCTTGTAAATGAGATGTAGAGGAACAGTTGAGCAGATTAAGGATCTACGCTGCTCAGGATTATGGTACAGGGAAAATACAAGTGAGCCTGCCTAGGAGCCTGAGTCTGGAAGCAGCGCTGCGAGAGCATTCCCAGAGGAGCTGCATGGATCCCTTCAGAAAAAATCATGTTAGTGGCAGAGGAATTGTGCTCAGAGAACACTATGACCAAGAAATCCCCCGTTATTGACTTATGTTCTTTGTCTCAGCCTATCTGCAGAAAAGTTTAGTTTGAGAGGAAAAAAAAAAAAAAAGAAAACAGAAGTCTTGCAATAGCTTGCAATAAAACTTGAGTAGTTAAGCAGGCAGGAACTGCAATATTATGGTTGACTATCTGGTTTCAACTCTGCACCTTAAATACATTGCTTCATTTAAAATCAAGCATTAATCTTGATTTCTTTGATAACRTATGAATACAGTGTCTTCAACAAAGAATGCTTCCTATAAGATAAACCAGACTAAAATTATTTTTTGTGCACAGAGCCCATATAGTACACAATTACCCGGGAATGAGACAAGAGCAAGATAGTGTGTAGTGGGAAAAGACACTTAGAAGCACCAGGAAAGGGAGGAGGAGATGACAGCTCCACCTGGAATCCAGAGAGGGTGGCTCTGGCTGCTACAGCAGCGGGCACTGGGTGAACWCACAGTCTGAATCCCTGACAGCTCAGCTGAAGGAAGCTCTTTATTCAAACTTTTTTTTTTTCCCCCTCAGCAGTTGTGATTTTCAGATTTTGGTACTTTGACTAGGTGTAGGCATTTAAAGAATTGCAACTAAATATCCGTAAGTTTAGATAAATAATTGTAGTGAATAACATTAACAAGGCACATATTGTTAATATATTAGTAGTGCTCATTATCATTTCATAAACGGCATGTGTTTATGCAATTTTGTAGAAAACGACTGAAAAACTGCTTTTGAAGTTGCTTGTTATTTTTATGGCAACTGGGAGGACCAATGTCTGGATAGTTTTCTTTATCCTGTGTTTTGAGTTAGTTTATCACACCGTAGAAGGAAAAGACTTCTTTGTTTTCTCTCAGGATTCTTCTGTTTTACCTGTTCAGGTAAATAAAGATGATCCAGACTTAAGGAATAAGGATGATCCAGACTTGTTCTTRGCCTGTGAAAATAGTTTCCCTCCCCTTGATCTATTAAATGAAGTCAGGTATATTAAAAAAGCTGTATGCTGAAGCTTTTAATGGAAAGAAGATGATTTCTTTCTGTGTCGTCAGGCTACTGGTATTAGCTGTGGATAGTATAGACATTAAATTTTTTTAATTATATTGTTTGCTGTATCATTTTTTTAATGTGTAAGGATTTTCATAAATAGCATAATGTATTTTAGCAATACATACTGTAGTGATTGCTCTGAATGAAGGCAATTTGGTGGCTTTATGTGGCCAATCATTTCCAAATGCTCAGTGCTACTTTTCATGTCGTGCTCATGTAATCCTTTGCACTGTTACCTAACAGGTTTCCTGTTTTGAGTTTCTTATCAGTGCATTAATCCTTGCCTGTTSGATTTCGCCAAGGAAGGTTAATTTCATGTAATAAAGAAAATCTGTTGTTTGTCAGGGATTACAGCAGGTCTTGCTAAGTTTTTGAGAAATATAATCTCATTACTATTTGGAACTAGATCTCCTTCCTTTCCTGTCCTCAGAAAAGCCCAACTTCAGACTTTCCATAAATATCAGCTGTGCYGATATGCAGGTACCACTGGAAGACAGTCAAGGTTAAGACTGATCGTTCTTTTTACTTGTACAGTTCATGGCCTCTTTGTTGCAATTCAGAATTAGTGTCTCCATCTATTAAATTCCATGATGCTGAATCTAAAGTCAAGTGAATAAAACAAGAAGGTGATCCTTGCTGACGGAAGGCATTTCACTCTCTGGTCTGCTTGTATTGGAGCTTGCAACCAAGAGGCAAATATCCTTTAATCCTCAGAGCTGTCTATTTTTCTGCTTTTTATATTTTTTGGCACTTTCCAGCTGTGTTCTTTTTTTGAGGGTGTCTTGTATATTGATTGCAGTGGACCAATGTAGCATTACTTGATAATGTTTTAATAAGTCTGTTTTCTTTTAGACCATTTACAGATGGGCAGACTGTCTCCAAAGCTTCACTGGTTCATTTTGAGAAGGCCCAAGATGAAGGCAAAGATCTAACTGGTAAGTGTACAAATGATCATTCAAACTGTTTTTAGAATTTGTTAATGTAATCTTTGTGTTTATTTTTGCAAATTCCAACTGATAGTTTTTAAGGACTGGAATAAGACATGGCAGTCAAAAATAAAATGTAATTGAAATTTGTCAGGGCAGCTGGTATTTTTTCAGAACCATTTTGTAAGCTTGCCCGAATTTAGTAGTGTCTTCCAGCTTTTATATTTGAGTTTTTTTTATATTTATATTTTATACTTGAATATTCCTGGGTAAAAGTGAAAAACAGCCTGATTGCATAAAAAACCTTACCAAGTGTGGTGGTATTTTTTACATCACAGCCTATTGTTAGCTGTTGGCTCTCGAGGGTTCAGCATACAGTGTAATAACTGCAGGCTGTAAATGAATATCTACACTTCGATCAGTTCTGTGTTACACTGTAGTATATTCATACAAGTGTAATTTTAAACCAGCAAGGCAATGGTAAATTAACCTAGCTGTGCTGCCATGCAGCTTAAAGCGGCAGTTACTGGCTCAATGTTCACCACTTCTTTGGAAGGTTTGTAGCCCTGAGGGAGCTCCCTGTTGCCTTGGTGAGACTGCTGCTAATGTCTAAATTTGCTTGTTTAAACAAGGTCTATTTGTAGTGTGAGACAATTGGAGAAGTGACTGCAAGCAGATCTTGTAGGACTGACATAGCGCTGTTGGAATGCCACATGCAGACTTCTTTATAAATAAACACATGTATACATATACACACACATATATATAAGCAATTCTTTGATGCACAGTAGGTTTCTTAACTTTTCAAGGAGTGAACTGCTGCGCATTTACTTTTCGGTAAAGCAGGAGAGTAATCTGGATGGCTGAAGGTGATAACTCAATTTTCAAAATTTCAGGGCATTTTTTTATTGAGCTATTTGAGAGACACATTGCATGTATAGATTATTTCTGAGCCTGTGATTCCTCAGAGTGCTTGCCTGTGTGCATGACAATGAGCCTGTGAGGACTCTGACCTATTTTTCTAAGAGAAGTTATCTGGGACACTGGTTACTGCCCTCAGTTATCCACCTTGCTGCTCTCACGGAGCTGCTGCTGGCTGCAGTTCACAATAATGTGCAGGGCTGCAAACCACAGTGCTTGGGAAGGAATGCACGTACCATGCAGCCGCTCCTGCAGTGCTGGCCACAGCCTCTGCAAGGAAGGTGGGGTGGACAACTAAAGGTAGAAGACATTCCAGTGGTTCMCTCATAATTTTCCTACAAGCACAAGTCAAACTTCATTTATTTTAATTAAGCAATCCCATTATTTGAATTTAGGTACGTTTCCAAATTGATGAATTGATGATTTTACTATTTAAGTTACCTCAGTCTTTTATTTAACTCTTGGAATCTGTCTACTATTTGTTACCCCTTGAAATGAGTAGCAATGTTAGACTTGGAAACACTCCTCATCTATAAAGATGCTGAGTGGAAAGTGAGGACTAATGTTGAAGACTCTCAGATATTTATAGAAATGGCCTAGTGATTAGATATGAAGTCTCTTGAGGGAGTGGAGTTCAATGTCTGCTTTGTATATCAAGAGAAAAGAAGGAGACTCTGATATTTCTAGTTGTAGAGAACTGTCTCATTTTATAATAGGTATATTTTGYAGCCTTAAAACTTCGTATTGTTTGGAATTCCTCCCCTCCCCATTATTTCTTGCAATTTGCAGAATCCCATTCTAGTGGAACCAGGCCAATTTTGGTTTTCCTAATRCATATATAAATCTAGAATAACCTTAGTGTTGGCAGCAAGCATCATGTTGGCTTAAAGCCACCGCAAGTTAAAAGAAAACTCATRTATATTAGTGGGTGGAAACCACAAAATACTGCAGCTTGGAAAAGGCCTCTGGAGAGCAACTAGTCCTGCTTCCTGCAGGGCTGTCTTCAAAGTTGAGTTGGGTTGCCCATGGCCTTGTTCAGTTGAGCTTTCAGAATCTCTAATCATGGAGGTTTTTTTTCCCATTTCTCCTCCCATTCCCTGTACTTGATTGCTCTCACTGATTTCATGTCAAATATAAGCTTCCTTAGTGCAGCCCATGCTTGTTGCCCCTTGTCTTTTCACTGTGTGCCTCAGAGGAGACTCCAGCCCTATATCCTCCCTTCAGTCTCCCTTCTGTGCAGACTGCAGTTAATTCCCCTCCAGCCTTTGTCTCCAGTTCTCCAGGATGAACAGACCCGACTCCTTCAAACTCTCCTCATGTGTAGTGTGCGACTGTCCCCTCACCGTCTGGATGGCCCTCCTCTGGGCTTGCTTCAGTTTTAAAAGGATCGCTCTTGCATGAGTCCTTTGGAAACTGCTCACCACTCTGGGTGCGGCCTCACGAGTGCTGAGTAGCAGGAATTAATCACTTCCCATGATCTACTGGCACAGACTTTGTGGCCTGGGATGCCTTTATATCCACAGGGACCTACTGCTGTCTCACATTCAACTTTATACCAGGAYCCCCAGGCCCTTTCTGCTGAGCCAGCTGCTATCCAGGTGCTATCCAGGTGCTCCGTTGTGCTGGCTTATCCTACCCCAGGTGCGGGATTTACCATTTCACCATTGCTCAACTCTGAGGTTTATGTCAGCCTAATCCTGCAGTTTGCTGAGGTGCAACCAGTGCCAGCCCTGCCCTTCAATGTGTTGACCAATTCTCCCAGTCTGGTGTCATCTTTGAAGCTGATGAGAGTGCATTCCACTGGCCAAGGGCTTAACGACATTGAACTTTGATCCCAGGATGGACCCCCAAAGAATGTCACTGTAATTGGCAGCTATCTAGACTTAGAAATGTTCATCACTATTCTTTGAAACTAATTATTCAGCCAGATTTTCATCCATCTTCCTGTCATCCACCCATCTGATTCTAACCTCCTTAGGTTGCCTTCAAGTGTGCTATGGGAGACCTCRTGAAATACTGCTGTGTCTTCCCCCGCTGCTCCCACCTCAGCTACAGAGCCAGTCATCTCATCGTGGATGGCAATCGAGTTGGTCAGGCATGATTTTACCTTGGTGAATCTGTGCTGGCTGGTCCTGGTCGCCTACTTCAAGCTAGAAATGATGAAAAACATTTTGCCTGAGAATTTGTTTGATAACCTTCCCATGGATTGAAGGGAGTCTGAGTGGCCTTTAATTCCTGGATCCACTTTCTTCTCCGTTTTGAGGATGAGGATGACATCTGCCTTCATCTAGGCACTGGGGACCTGCCTGGATTGCCTTGCCTTTCCAAAGACGATGGAGAGCAGCCTTGTGATGACCCTGGCCTGTTCTTTCAGGGTACTCTCAAATGTATCCRGTTGCGCCCGTAGACTTGTTTGTCCTGTTTGCTAAAGTGATCTCTAATTTGGTTTCCCTCTAGTGTAGGTAGTACTTCTCTGGCTGCCTTGGTATTCGGTGGCAAGACCAGCTGTCAGGCTTATGGGTACTGGGTTTTGGCTTTCCTACTTCTGTGCTGGCATGTCTGGGCAACGCTCCTGCAGCAGCATTTCCTCCTGCAGAGCTTGTTCCTGATTACACCCTCCACACACTTCCATTTTTGAGCAACGTAATCAATTTACGCAGTGTCACTGTTGTTTTGAAGCGTGTTTTAAACTTAATAGCATGTTCTGCTGCTCYGCTCCCTCCCTGCCAGCCTGGAGGTTCTTGCATCTGTGGAACAGTGTATTTTATTGCCATTTATGTAGATTCCTTTCTGTTCTACTGGAAAAAATACAACAAGCTTCCATATACTGATTTTTTTTTTCTGTTGTTTTTGGCTAATTAAAAACCAAAATAATCTATTCATGATATCTTTTCTGTTTGAGAGCTTAAAAGTTAAAGGCAACTTTAGTGTAGAAAACTGGTATTATAGCAAAATGCCCCCCTGAACTGAGGCAGGGGAAGCATCAAGGAAAGCTGCTTCCTTCTTTTTCCCTCTTTAATTCCAAATATATCTTGAGGAGGAAAAAAAAAAAGGAAAAAAAGTGAGTGCAGAGGAGGAATGCTATGTGTGTTGTAGGAGGAATGCTGTGTGTGTAGTGTCAGCAGAAGGAGATGCCATCATAGCTGTGGAATCCCAGATGATGACTGTCCGTAAGAAGCACCTCCAGCAAAGAGCTGGGTACCTTCCTTGTCATTAGATGAAATCAGTACTTTGTAGGAAGTGACRTATAATCAAGTTACTGTTTTGTGGGTTACAACTCAGTTTCAGGCAGAAGTTAAATTACTGTTTTAGTTGCTGCTTTTCAGGAGACATCTGCAGAGCCGCCGAGCAGGGCCATCTGTAGCCTCCCTGTTTGTTTACTGTCTGCAAGGTGACCTTGATGCTTTTGCATTTTGTATGGCTTCCTCCGTGAACATCACAATTCATTTCCATTCCCAAGTCCATTCTGGCAGTCACTGGAACTTGCAAGGGAAGTAGTGAACAAGAGAGAAGGTTTCATTCATGGATAAGTCTTCCTGGATAAATGTTCTTTGTTTTGTTGTTTGTTTTTTAACTGGYATGTCATCTCCCTTATACATCACAATGGTCCAGCAGTTTCAGCCAAAACTGATTATTCAAGTGAAAAAATATGAAGATTTGATATTTGTCTCTTTGTTTAAAACAGTTTTTTAGTATCCAGGCTGAGAGAAAAGGCCTGTATTGTGTCACAACTGCTCAGTTATGCCCTGTGGAGTAACAAAAAATGATCAGATGGGCTAGAGCAATTCCTCAGCAAAACTGCAGCATGGTTTTCCTCTTGCGCACTGTGTGTATGAGACTTCTCTGACCTGCCTCTTCCTTCACGAGCAAAGCAGTGAATTGGGGACCATTTAGCTGAGTTGTGGAATTCCTSTTTAGAGGAGAATGTCAAGGGGAGGAAAACAAAAGCACTTGGAGGCCCAGTGTCAAGGTCAAAGAATATTTATCTGAATAAAATCTCTGYTCTTTTTGTTGGGTCTGGGGAGGTCATTCTCTTTGGAAGTAAGCTTTTTCTCACCACCTCTGGCACTGCATGAATTTACAAGAGTGACAGGAGCCAAGGTCACATATTAGTGAATTAAAAAGCATTTAGGGTGAAAATGTAATCGAAGTGAGAGGAAGGGAACAAATCTTCCTTACTTGCATTTAGGGTACTTTCAGTTTGGCTCTGCTTTAGCATGTAATGCTGGAATCAGGGCTTATTTTTTCTTATGCTCTCAGTAAACTTATGGGTGTATCAACATTCATAGTGTATTTAAAGGATATTTATTTTGATTTCTACTTGGGTTTGAATCGGTTCTGAGTTAATTTCCAACCAAGACATTGCAGTTTAGCTTGCAGGTGCCAGCTACACAGGGCACCTGTTTTGCTTTTCCGAAAAGGGGTAATCATTTCAATCAGTGTTTAGATGTACATTCCTTCCCAGGCGCTGGTGTGTCACAGTCTCACTGCTAGTTGACAGCAGTAATTGCTATTCATGTTCTGCTGTTTTTACAAATTCTCTGAGGAAGAGTGCTTAGTTTCATTAGAATATTTTGGGTTATTTTCTAGATTTTAGAACTATGTTCAGATATAAATACAAATATATACAAGTACAGGTAGTGAGCGGGTGTTCAAATTTGTATTTCTTTTCCATATTTATGGTGTAGTATTAAGGTGACTCATCAAGTCTCTGATTCTGATATAAATCAAAGATATTTTGCTGAAATTGGAAAAAAAAAAGCACAGGTAAGAGCAAATGAAGCCAAGGTTTTAAGATTTTTTTTGTTTTGTTTTGGGTTTTTTTTTTTTTTTTTTGCATATAGATATTTCAATGGTGTGACCTTTTTTCTCTCTGGAGGCTCTTTTTTTCTATGTGTTGCCTGTCTTTACAAAAAAGATCTTCATTGTGCAACTTTTGTAATGTGGTTCTAGGAACGTTGCTTGGATTTGCAGCTCCCTTGAAGAGGTACTTTTGCTTGCTGTGGTCAAGAACGCTCTTTAGCTCTGTATGGTGTGATTTTGGTTTTGGTAGAGCGCTCTCTGACCTGGACCACCTGCAGGGCCTCCCAGCTCTGCTGCTTTAGAAGCCAGACCACCAGGTAGAGAGATCCCCGTGTGGCTTTTGGGTTGTGCCTGCAGAGCACATCCCAAAATGTTTGTAGGTACCACTGTTTATTCTTTAGTAAAGTCCCTCTGTCCATTGCCYAGAAATCTCTGTAACTGCTGGTTTTCCAAACTCTCTGGACTTAAGCCATGTGACCACTGACCTCAAAACATACAATAAAATTTGATAATGCTCCACACCTTTGTTTTGAACATCATTATATTTAATTTACAAGCGAAGAAATAAAGGCACATGGAGATTAAGCAGCTTTGTTGTCATTATTGCTTTCTGTTGGTCAGCATGGTGAAGAGAGCWCCTACCACGTTGCGAGTCGGGAATGGGAGCAGCAACCCAGGACCGTGCCGTGATACATGTCACACCTTCAACACCTTGGTTCACTTTATGCACCAGTGTCTCCTGTGTAAGATTGGGTATTGGTTCACCCAAAAGATGGGAAGCACCTAAAATCTGCTCTACTGCAGTCTTAATTTAAACCGCTTGTCTTTTAGTGCACAGTGCACAGTACTTGTTCACTGGTAGAAAGTCTTGATAATGCTTTTGCTTTCCAGAGTCTTTGTGGACTTCCTGTGCTGATGGCAGAGTCAGACTGAGAATAGATAAATCATGTCCTCAGATTCCAATAACAGTTCATCAGATGTTCAAAGAGAGCCTAGAGAAATACGGGTCTCTCAATGCTTTGGCCAGCAAAAAGAATGGCAAGTGGGAGAAGATCACTTTTTTAGAGTATTATTGCCTGTCCCGGAAAGCAGCCAAAAGCTTCTTAAAGGTAGGTACAGAAAACAGACCTTTTTTTTTCTTACTTTCTGCCTTTTCAAAAAATAAATATAAGTTTTCCTACCAACTGCTGCTTTTTCACTTCTTAAGATGTGCAGCAGTCACATCCTCTGTCCTTGCTAGCAGGAAGAGCAATTTTGCAGTCCAGTATCTAAGAGCTTTGACTTGGTTTTAGAAAATGTTGTGGTACTGCAGTGTTTTGACTTTAAGGAAAATAGATCTAAGGTGTTTCACAATTCAACCAGTCTTTGTACTGCTAGAATACAGAGTGATTTTTTCTTAATGGTTTAGCAAACCAATAAAAGGGAGCTTAACTATTTTTACTTATTAATATATTTCAGTAATCAATATCTATTGTTTAATATATGTTTGTTATATTGATGTTTTCTAACACTTAGTAGCAAGTTCCCAAATCGCAGGTCCCAAATAGAGTATTGATACCTCTGTTTAGTAGAAACTGTGCATAAAGAGCAGGTGGTCTTTGTACATGCTGTATCCAACAGTCTGAGCTGCAGTGTTGTAAATCCATGCATTATTTTTCTTTTGGAGTGTGTGCCATGGGATGTTCCTAGATGATGTTAGGAAAGAAATAATGGTCTAGCAAGGGGGTGTTGTTGATGTTTTGGGGGCTTTTTTTTGGGGGGGATGTTGAGCATCTTAGACCGTTAGCTCTTTTACATGATAATGATATTTATTGCATTAATTATTTTTGAGGTTTAAGTTCATCCAGAAGAGCTGAGGGAGCTCTTTTGAAGCCCTGTCTTCTAATTGGCACTGGCCTGGCGAGTAGACTCTACATTTTGGCCAAAGAGACAGAATTGCTCTCAAAGGCCATTGAGTGCAAGAACAGAGCTGCCCTGTGACTGCCCCACTCAGGCAGGGGTACAAAGTTAAGTGTATGCCCTTAAGATTACAAAAAGAAAAATAAGTGTAACACAGCAATTCTGTCATGAACTGGGCAAGAGAAAGGCAATTTTGAAAACATTTTAAACACGGGGTAAGGTTAGTACTAATTATGCTCTTGCTTATACCTCTTATATAAAAGAGGTATAAGCTTATATATACCTTATACCTATAAAATATCTCTTTTTTTTCTGTCATTTTTTGGACAGCAGAGCTGAAGCAGGAGGGAGGAGGCTGTGGAAAGCTTAAGTCCTGTAAATTTATAACAGAAAGTCTGGTTTTAGTATGGGTGCTTACATACAGCTATGAGGAACATGTTTTCAATATCTAATAGTAAATAAAAATTTTCCAGTGTGTGCGTGTGTGTTTTGTGCTGCTTTATCTCCAGCATGCCTATATTTTATAACCTTAGGCTTATTGTTTTTAAGCTTGGTCTTGAACGATTCCACAGYGTAGGAATCCTTGGATTTAATTCTCCTGAATGGTTCATTTCAGCTGTTGGGACAGTTTTTGCTGGGTAAGCTTTTTGCTTTGTTGTTTTTTGTTTTTTAATTGGGGTCTGGGGGTTTATTTGCTCTTTTGGTAAGTCTGGGTGTGCAGCAAATTAGTATTTGCTGTTATATCCTTGGAAGCTGTGCTGCAGCTGGTCCACATGCTCAGTGACCTGCTATAGGCTCATAGCTTTCATAGTATATTCAAAATACCCCAAGCTCTCACTAGTAGAGATACAATTGGACTGTGAGCGTCTCTCAGCATGTGGTCTTCTACAGTATGTTGTCACTGGAAGACGTGTCTCAATGTTATGTCAGTGACAGCTGTCTACAGAAAGGTATGTTGAAGTGTTAAGGTATGTTAATCTCTAATTAAGCATCTTTTGAATACTAAGTGTATCTATGTATGTGTATATAATTATAATTGTACATACACACCCACATATGTGTGTGTGTGTATATTATATWTTTTTTTTTGATACAGAGGAATTGTCACAGGAATATATACAACCAACTGTCCAGAGGCCTGCCACTACATTGCTCATGACAGCAAAACCAATATCATGGTTGTGGAAAATCAGAAACAATTGGAYAAGATAATGCAGGTAGGAAGTGGCTGAGTAGTTGGGAAAGCCTTTTTTTCCCCCTTATCTCAATGCTGATAGTCCCAGATATYGTATTTATTACCCACATCATGGAACTCTTCAGGGCAGTTTCCTTGTGCAGAAATCTGGCACCTGATGTTTGAGTTGCTTGGTGACTTGCAGCTCTCTTCCCTGTAGTGTGTAAGGCTCACAGTGAGGCACTTGTGATCCTCGCCAGCTGACTACTCACTGCTGGTGATACTCTGCAAAGTTACCCTAAAAATACAAAAGAAAACAGCAACACCCCCCCCCCCTATTTCATTCCTATGGATCGTCCATTTCTTTTTGGATAAGCACAGTTCACTTCACTGGAGGTGATTAGGATGATGCAAATTTGTAGAGGACTTCCATCTGAATATTAAGGCTGTCAGTGTTCCGAGTGTGGAATCTCCTTTCTGAAGTGCTGTCCTTCCTGCTTACACCCTTCAACATGGTGATGTTACTGCACTTCATCAGCATGAAGCTTGCCATGAAATAGATTGGGACGCAGAAGAAAGTGGTTCTTTGAGGGAATGAGGACAGTTTTGCAACAAGTGGGGCTTCTGCGTAGGGGGCCAGGTCCAAAAACCTGTTGCTCCTGATGTCTGAAAATAGAGTTTCTAGAGCAGACAATGTATTTTTTCCCCTCGTTTATTTTCTGATTCTGCCTGTTGATTGTGAATCTAGGGGAAAATATTTGAGGGCCGAGGGAAATGGGAAGTTTCTTGAGACTGTGAACCCAATTTTGTCAGCTAGTCACAGATGCTTTAATGGAAAAAAATTAAGAGATGACTAATAAATTATAAAATTGTTTTTAAAAAATCCAACAGATCTGGAATCGTCTGCCACACTTGAAAGCTGTTGTTCTGTATAAGGACTGCATGCCGGAGAGACATCCCAATTTGTATACGGTATTATAATTCATAGGATATTATTTGTTTGATGAGCTTCTATTTTCTTTTTAAATATGTGGAATATTCGCCATTTACAATACATTGCTGTCTTTCAGTAAGGACGTTCCAAAAAATTCATTGTTTTCCATTTAACTTACTTGTTTAATGTTTGACACTTAAAATTTAAAATCAGAGCTACCTTGCTTAACTAGTCTTTGTCTCATGACTTATTGATCTTTTATTTGATAGGATTAGTGTTACATTTACAAGGTTCAAGTGGGAACATGGACTTTCAAACAATTAGAAATGTAAGTTGTCCACTACTTGTCATAGCATGACAAGCATTTTTGGTGATAGGCAACGCATAAAGAAAATAACTTCTGATGTCCAAAGGATATAGCAGGGCTTTAGCATACTCGTGGTTTGTTGTACCCCAAAGTTATAACCAAGTAAAACATGGAAAAATTCAGGATCAGAAATTTCTGAGTAGTTTAAGTCCAACCTTAAAATTAGGTTTAAAAATTAGGACTGTAGGCAGAACAGATTTTCAGAACAAACATTTTTCCAACTCTCTTTACAGTATAACTGAGAATAGTTTTGTAACACAAATGCCCAAATCACTGTTTTATTTTTAGGTGTCATACAGATGATCTCTGAGACTTGCAGGCTGAATAAATCTCAGTTTAGAAAAAAAAAAAAAGATATTAATTAAGAGTAAACAGTAAAATATCTAAAAATATTTTCAGTTTTGTCTACTCTTGGAATTTCATAAATAGTATTCTCTTTATAGTAAACAGTTACTGTTACAATACTGTACCTGTTGATGAATTGTATCCTTTACATCTCAATACAGTAATACAAAAACTGTAGTAGCAAGAGGATCTTACGATACCTATTTCTTAATGAAAGGTGCTTGATAAAAGATAGCAATTAATTCTAGATCAGCATTCAGTCAATGAAACCTAGATGCCCGAGAACTACGGAAGAGAGTGGCACAAGGTATAGATTTTATTCTCTGTTATTGAAATACATCTTTGGAACATATTTGAAACACTTCTTTGAAACACATATTTGAAACACTTGTTTGAGTGGCAGATCAGACACACTTTCTGTGGAGAGGGGAAGCTATAAAAACATCTGACAGTTGTCATAGTTTGTATTATCTAAAGGAACTAGCAGAGATCAAGTCACCAGTGGCAGTGGTGATTGTCCATTAGCTTCAACATAAAACAAACCACCTAAAACACAGGGCATATGATAAGAGTTTTGGGTTGCAGGTTGGCAGGTGAGACATGATTGACTGCTAAWGAACAATTGTTGCAGCAGGGGCAAAGCCCTAGTTCTCTGCCCGGTGCGTTTTCCAGCAGGCAAAWGCAGGCTCAGTGATGTGTGACAGTTGGTTTGTACCTGCCATGCTCTGGGGAWTGGGAACATTATCTGTTGCAGGTGGTGTTCAAGTAAACAAAGCCTAGGCAACAGAGGCATGGTGATTAGTGCACGCTGCTCTGCAAGGAGAGTAGGGTTAGGAGTGCAAGAGGACCTGGTAAGTCATGTAGGGACAACAGCACCCTATGAACCTCCAGGCTTTCCAGCAGCCAGTGAAACTGCTCCAGCCACATCCTGTGGGAAGGGCCCCTCTTCCCAAAGGCGTGGTTTGGTAGAAGAATGTATAAGCCTGGTGGTCAGTAATTAAAGGAATCCTAGGACAGATTTGCCCTGAAAAAGGGAGCCTAGTGCCACAGAGGCTAAACAGAGGCTTAAGGTATGAAAGGAAGAAAGAATTCATCCTCAGCCACCAAATCTCCTTTTCCCCTCTCTCTTGTTTGTGTATATGCACTGTATATAACATATATACTAAYGTGCTCTGTGTGTGTATATATATACACACATACACACAGTATATATGCACACACACCCCCTATCTTCAATTAACAGGGAAATCAATGAGACTTAATGGCAGCTACTGAAACACAGTGAATCAAGCCCAGCATTCTTCTGGGCCAAACTGTGCTGCACAAAGGCTGGCATCGTTAAAGGTTTAGCTCRTTCCAGAGTGAGGCAAATTTGAATGGAAGTTGTGACCAGCATCATGCGTTCTGCCTGTTGTTAAAGGGCAGAGAATTTGGGCCATTGTTTGTACACCTGGATGCTAATGCTTCTGCACAGGAGCTGTCATCCACCTGCTTTATGTAGCRGACATGAAATTGCACATGGAATGTCACAAGCATATTTTTTATTAAAAAAGTGTAGATACAGACTTCTCTACATAAGGATGAAAATCATTCTAACAGTATGAGATAGGAGTAGAATTTTAGCCTGTGTAACTTGTCCATAATATTCGCCTTGGATGAGGACTAGTATTGCCATTTCCTATATAGATACCAAAAAGATTCAGCAGGATAATTTTCCATATCCTGTTTGCAATTCACACAGAGGGACYTTTGTGTAAAATTCTACATTAGGCTGATCACCTTCCTTACACAGGCAAGATGTTGTTGATCCGAATGGGCAACTTCTCTTGGAAAAAGGTTCAGAGCAAGGCATGGCTTAGCTTTTCTTCCATTTTCTACACTAGTAGGGTGCTTTTTATTTCCCACTTGTAAGGAATCATCTGATACCTTGCATTTTCTGCTATATGTTCCAGATGGARGAATTTCTGGAGTTGGGAAATGACATAAGTGATGCTACTTTGGATGACATTATTAACTCCCAAAAGCCAAATCAATGCTGTGTGCTAATATACACATCTGGAACAACTGGGAAGCCAAAAGGAGCCATGCTGAGTCATGACAACGTATGTATTTGATATTTTCTGTTTAGAATAAAAAATAGCAAAGTGTTGAGGATATTTGTTCCTGCATTTCAGATGTCTGATACATTCTAGAGCCTTAAAATACTTTGTGGTGCACTTTCATGTTGCAAAAATAAAAAAAAAAAAAAAATATTCAAAATGCTGTAAACTATTTCTGATAATGTAAAACTGCATTTCAAGTAGCACTTCACAAGCTTGAATGTCATTTATGTTATGAATATGCCTTTTGATTTACTGCCTTGCTCCAGAGATGCATGAATTCTATAAATTGCTATAGGCAGCCTCATCAGGTCATCTTAAAAAGATAAAATCATRTGCATCAACCAGCCGCTGTCAAAACAGCCTGATGCTGACAGCTTTTGCAAATTTTATTAAAGCTGACTGTTTAACTTCAGCATTATTATCCTCCCCAGTCTTTGGTTTCTGCCTCTGTCACTGAACGACAATAAAACTTTTGTGCATCTCGTAGTCCTGACACTGACAGCCCAAGCTGTATTGCTGTGAGTAGAAAACTTCCCATTGATAGGCAAAGGCAAAGTCACTTCCATGGAGGTCTGCTCCGCTTTCCATGGAGGTCTGCTGACAAAAGTAGTTGATTTTTAGCTGGCTGAGGAGGAGTGGGAAGAGATAAGAAGCCTTTCTGAACATCCAGACAGCCTGTGAAAAGGCTGACCTTAGGTCTGTCTCTCAAAAGACTGCAGGAACTATTACTGATGTGCACAGTGTGATGAGCAGTTTACCCAAATGTCGGGCTGAGCGCAGTGGTCTCTGGAAGCAGGACACAGTTGACCTGATAGACAGAAATACTGATGTGACATTGCAAATCCTATACTCTTACATCTCAAAGGAGTCTGGTGTCATTTCCATGTTAGCTGCCAAAGTATTCCTGGCTACTGATCACAAACAGGCTATTTTTATGTTGAGCAACAGTGGAAAACATGCCTTGTCTGTAACTGTGCTTCTGCCTTCTTTAGTCACAAGATGTTTCCTGCTGTCTCATATGYAAAACCAGTGCTGAGTCGGTCATAGATGAATCCACTTGGATTTGTTGTGAACCTGCCTGCATGCTGTGAGGTTTTGGAGGCCAAGCAGTCAGTGTCGCCACATTTCAGAGACATCCTGTTCTCCTTACTGCGTTTCCTTCTCCCATAGGTGCTTCTACAGTGCTGCCCTTTAGACGTGGAATGGCTTTTCCTGACAGCAGACTGCTCCTTAAAATCCTGCCCTGAAAATCTATGTTTCCTTAAACTAAACATCCTCTCCTGTTAATGTGTTATTACAAAGGAAAAGTACTGGTAGGAAGCATAACATATGGTGATAGCAAGCATTATGCATTGCATGTATCACCTCTCTGCATCTTGAATAATTGGATTTCTGTGTTCYGCCCAACTTGGTTTACATACAGGTTCCTCTGAGAAAGAACCACGCTTCCTTTTTCTCTGTGCAGTTTTTTTTGGTTGGTTGGTTGKTTTTTTATTTCTCTTRTGTGATCACATATATGAATTCTCCCTGTTATATTCTGATACTGAAGATGTTTAGCATCCTTCAACAGCATTTTCTGGCATCAAGTGAGAAATATGTAGCAGGAAAATGGTATTACAGAACTATACCTCAAAGGAAATATCCTCCAATTCCTCGAAAGAGTCAAACGGCAAATCTTTAGCATTATTCRCATGTGGAGTTCTTGGAGGGAGAGCTCTGTTTGCTGCTCATGAACCACMATCATCAATCTCCCAGTGGTTTCCAGAAGAGCATGATACGGCTGCTGATCTTTGTCATCAGTTCACAGTCATGTGGTGGTCACTATAAGAAAATAAGCCTGTTTTCTTTTTTAGATAAACATACTTTTTAAAAAAGCACTGGTGAAAAGTGTCAGCTTGATAGAAATCACGCACAGTAGGAATGCTGTGAAAGAGAGGCTGATAAATCTTCTCCTTGTCTATCTAGCCCATAACTGCTTTATTAGATTGAGTGTTGCCTTTGTTAGTGTGCCAGTTTTATGGAGCACTGGGGAGTGGGAAGTTTGTAGTGTTCGTAGGCCAGTGAGGCAGAGGACAGGCTGAATTTCCTTATATTTTCTGCAGATTACGGCTGCTAGATTAGTTTATCTTTCTTYTGAGTAGTAAGCGGCTCTAGAGCAATGGCACCTGGAATGCTGTCAACACTTGCGATGYCTTCAGCAGTTTCTGTGAGTGCAGTTCGTCACGTTGTCATAGATGCTCAGGGTGCTTGGTTTGTGTGAAAAGGGAAAAAATATCTAACATGTTTTATTCTTTATTTAAATAGATAACTTGGACATCAGCACATTGCAGCAAAGCAGGAGATATGCAGCCCGCAGAGGTCCAGCAGGAGTCTATAGTCAGTTATCTCCCACTCAGCCACATAGCTGCACAGATATATGACCTGTGGACAGGCATCAAGTGGGGAGAGCAAGTTTACTTTGCTGAGCCAGATGCTTTAAAGGTATCTGTCACACATTGCACCTAATTAAACTTGCACTTATTTTTTCTATAAGAAAATGTCCTAAGAATAGATTATGGTCTTTAAAGAGATACAGAAAATGAAGGTTGAAATTGTGTTATTGTAAGAAATATGGAAAACTAAATCCCATTAGATACATGCTTCCCTTCTCTAGATTCCATTTGGTTCTCTCTTTGCTTAGAAAACTGGTTCCTCTCTATAGTCAAAGTCTCTAAATTGCTATTGAAAGAGAGTGCCTGAAACTGGTAAATTGGTTTCCTTCTGCAGAGGAAGCCTGTCTTTGCAGAAAGCTGAAAAATGACTTTGACACCAGTGCCTGAGTGGTTTTCAGTTCTAGAATAGCTTAAACTATTCTAGCATAATTAAATAACTAACTTCAGATTTGTTTTCACAATATTCTGAGTGTAAGTGTAAAATATATTGTCCAGATTCAGATCTGCTGCTATTATGGCAGAAAAGAATGTCYCTAATGCAAAAGTATAAGCAGATTTTGGAGACAGGGAAGCAGAAAATAATAAACCACTTGTTTTTTTTTTCTTTCCGTATATGTATGCCCACATATGTCAGAGCCAGCATGTTAGTGCATCTGCTTGACTGAAATACATACTTAGTTCAACAGATCTTGTTTATATTCCACATGTTTAGTGATATTCTAGATGCAAGTATTGCCAGATGTAAACTATGTCATCAAAACTCCGACAGCAGCATGGAGTACATGCAGTGATTTTGCAGTGATTTGATATGATTTCATATGATTTTTACAGGGCAGCTTGATCAACACACTAAAAGAAGTGCAGCCCACATCTCATATGGGAGTTCCCCGAGTATGGGAGAAGATCATGGAGAAATTAAAGGATGCTTCTGCGCAGTCAGGATTCGTGAAAAAGAAAATGCTTTCCTGGGCTATGTCAGTTAGCTTGGAGAGAAACTTAAACTGCTCAAGCAGGTGTGTATTGTAATGAATGTACATCTTGTAATGAACAAGATCTCCATCAAGCTGAAAGTCTATCTGCTTGTAAGAAGCTCTCTAATATCAGAGTAAGGCTCTCAGATATATGTGAGTAAAATGGGGCCTGGCTACACGATGAAAAAAGGGAGAGGGTAGTTACCAAACACATTAGGCTGCTCTTAAACACTGTTTTTTTTGTGTTACTGTTAAAGGTCCCCTTTCACCCTCCTTGAGATCATATATGGGATTTCAGAAGATGCATTGTAGTGATACTGCTTTGCTTGTCTGGCCTTTCAGTTTCTCAGATAAGTCTTGCAGATCTCAACTCTAGTGGTATTCATTCTCAAAGAGACACATTTAAGTGATAAAGAATGAGGAATACAAAAGCTGTGTCTTACACAATGCATTGTTACAGTTTTTTCTGCATTTGCAATGTTCRAACAGAATGTTTGGAGTACATTGTTTGGAATATATGGAAATGTGCAAATGTGGAAAGCCTTTGAATAAATGAATAGAAAAGAAATATGTTACCTGTTCCTATTGACATATCTTATGTCAACACAAAAAAACAAATGGCAAATACATCTGTAAAGAACATCTGCATCTGCTTTTGGATTGGTAATTTTATATGTTACCCTTACTTCATCTCTTCTTTTTATGTGCTTTGTACCTGGCAGTGATTTAAAGCTGTTTTGGACAAGGTTAGCAGACTACTTGGTCCTTGCAAAAATCCGCAATGCGCTGGGATTTTCTTGCTGTCAAAAGCACTTTTGTGGTGCTGCTCCTCTCAATAGAGAAACACTGAATTTCTTCTTGGGTCTGAACATCACCTTGTATGAGGCCTATGGGATGAGTGAGACCACAGGCCCACACTGCCTATCTGGGCCATATATTTACAGGCAGCACAGGTGATTTTTATGTTATGTTATTTTAGTTATTATTTTTTTACGTATTTGTAGTCACTTATATTTTGGTAGATTCTGAGAAAAAAAAGTGTTAGACTTTTTATCAGTAATGTGTTTTGTATTTCTGTGTGCCTTGTATTTTTTTTTCCCCCCTGTGCCCTCACAGCTGTGGTAAACCAGTACCTGGCTGCAGAGTCAAGTTGGTAAATGAAGATACAGAAGGCAATGGAGAAATCTGTTTYTGGGGAAGAACTGTTTTCATGGGTTACTTAAATATGGAGGACAAAACAAAAGAAGCCTTTGATGAAGATGGATGGCTGCATTCTGGAGATTTAGGAAAACTGGACAAGGATGGCTTCCTCTATGTCACTGGAAGAATTAAAGGTATTCAGCAATCTTGCTCTGTGTTTGTTAACTCTTCAGCACTGCTTAGTCATATGTCAGACATGGTCCATCTAATTAAGTGCTTTTTCTCTAATGCCAGCAGCATTTAACTAATAGGAAACTAGAATAAATTTCTTTAGGAGGAMACTATGGCAGGACCAGTTCTCAGGAAGAATTTCCCTGTAGTAGGAATCAATAGGAATTGATTTAATTCCTATAGTGAGGTTTTTCATCCAGGCCTTTATTCATTATTAATAATAATTTGTAGTATGAAATAATAATGCAGGATTTAGTAGTCCATAAATTTAGTAGTCCATAAAGCTGTCTATGATCCCTTGGAATCTTACTAAATTGATTTGATTATGCATAAAATGTTTAGACAATAATGAGAGACAATCCTTCCATTGTATAAAGGTGGTTCCTATAGGTCAGAGCTAGGTTCCTCTGATGCCTTTAGGTGATGTTTGCAGAGACTAATCCTGAAATCAGTGAGCAGAAGGGAAGGTTAAAGCTAGGAAGATAAGCTGGCTGTTATTACAGTGCGCAGTTTAAAATTTGGAGTCCTGTAGCTAGTGGTGTCCCCTAAAGGTTGGTACTGGGACCAGTCTTGCTCCATTTATTCACTCACAAGTGAGCCTGCGTGCACCCTCAGCAAGTCTGCCAACTGTATAGAACAGGYAGGASAGGTCGATGCAGCAGAGRGCTGTGCTGCCGTTCAGAGAGACCTGGACGAGCTGGAGAGATGGGGTCTCTATCCCTTGGAAACACTCAGAAGTCATCTGGACATGATCCTGCTCAAGGTGACCCTGCTTGAGCGGGGCAGTTGGACTAGATGATCTGCCAAGGTCCAACCAATCTCTGATTCTGAAAATGTCACCCAAATAAGGCTGCTCACTTGCTTAATTGGAAGCTCTTTTTCAAGTTACCTATTCAAAAGCAAGATTGGTTGCAGTTAAGATGTTATTAAGAAGATTTAAAAATTGAATAGGTATCTTCCTAGAATATAGGATGAATCATTAGGCAGAGAACATGGCTGAGWGAATTTGTCACAGGGTACTGTAATATTCCGTCAGGCATCAGGACTTTTGTAGATGCTATTAATAGTCTGCATCAAAATCAGCTCTCCTGGTTGTCTGATTCATTCCTCTTCAGTGTGGTGGCTGGTAACTCATAGTCTCATTCTGTCAGAGCATTTGTGTTGTGCTTGCATCTTCTTTGATTGCTGAACTGACAGGAATTAGTCTAAATTACAGGATAGAAAGACTTCTTTCCTTGGTTCTTTGAGTCTTATGGGGTCTAGGGCTCACTCTATTAAGCACAAAGCAGTAGCAGGTTGGTAGCTTTGGTAGCTGAGACTCAGAAAAGCAGCAAAGCSCGAGGGTGTAGTCAGAGAAATCCCTACAGGGGATATTTGCCAAGGTATGGAAAAACGTTGTCTTGGCCAGCTGGGAAAAAATGACATTTCAGACAATGAAAAATAAAGTGCAGCAGAGCTTGGCCACAAGTTTGGCCACACACCTGCCTTTGCTGTGAATCCCTGGTGTGACCTGAGGCTCGTCTAGAATCCCAGGCCAGGTTGCTCGTGGGTACAGGGTGCCGAGTAGGGACACGCAGTGAGTGGGCAGCAGGTCGATGCCTGTTGCCCGGTGGCACATTGAGGGTAATTTGGTTCCTGCAGCTCTTCAGAGATGCTGTGGAGCAGGAGGGCCCATCYGTGTGTGCAGTTTGCCCCTACTTGCCTCTGCCTCCCTTGAGCCCATCACTGAAAGGGGATCAGGTTCCAACCTGATCCTTGATGTTTGAAGTTATATTGTTGCCCAAAGGGCTGGGATACCATTTGTCTGCGTCATTTGTTGAAGCAGGTAACTGCCTGAATGCTGCAAAGAACAAATTTGTGAACAGGGAAAAGTTGGTAGTTGAACAAAAAGATACACTGGAAATCTCCTTAGAGGGTAATATTAAAATGAGCAAGAATTTCAGTGAATTTGTGTATTACACTTCACGATGCATGTGTTCAAATAAAATTATACATTTCCTTACTGATAGAATAAGGTCTCACTACCTTTGTTTAAAAGCAACCCAAAATATTAAGAAACCAGTTTGCCATTATTCTCTGCTCATGCCCAAAATAGGCTGCTCTCCTCCTTGCCTTGCAAACCTGCRCACTCAGACTGTGATTTCTCCCTCCTCACGCTCCTCTCCCTTCCTGCACTAGTGACTTGTGTCTGTCTGACCTCTCCTGGTGGCGCTAGGAATTAACCAGGGTACCCAGCAGCTTTTAGGTGAGTTAACACCAGCGAAGGGGAGAGTGAGCGTCCTGCTAATTTGGAGAAACTCACCRCTCTCAGAAAATAAGCAGATTGTACAATGGTGCCTGGGGACAGAACTAAACTGCTGCTGGAGTTGTGTAAAAGTTACCTGGGGGTGGTTGTAATGGAATTTGTGCACACATGGAAGYAAATGTGTTACACATCAGAAGAATAATTTTAATAACTTGATGTATTTTGTTCCCTCTGAAGTCCACCAAGTTCTGCATTTGGGAATAAGAAAAGTAGATCCATCTGAACACTAACCTGTTCTTCAGAATTTATCTGAATTCAACTAATAGCCTTTTTTTTTTATGCCTAGATTTGATTATTACAGCTGGAGGTGAAAATGTGCCTCCAATTCCAATTGAAGATGCTGTCAAAAAAGAACTTCCAATTGTTAGTAATGCCATGGTGATTGGAGATAAAAAGAAGTTTTTGTCAATGTTGCTGACTCTAAAGGTACACCAGTTTTAATGATAATTTCAGCAGAATTATATGTCTGCAGCTAAGCAAAAGCAGGAGGGTTTTGAACTGTTAGCAAAAAGACTGATAAGTAGGTAAGAGGATGTTAGTTAGAGGGAAGAAAAGGCATAAAAACTACAGCCCAAGATCATCTAAGCTTCAAGTGGTTAAAATGCTGCTAAACATCTCACATTTGTTGCTGTTTCTCATAAATATGCAACAAGACCTACTTTTTATTTAAATGTTATGTTTTTTTAAGACTGTGGGAACAATGGCACAGCTGTGAGAGAGAAGCTGTTGCCACAGGAAGGGTCAATTCATTTTTCTGTGTCTACTGGAGTGAAAAAGAAAAATCATTTACACAGAATAGACTTTCCACCAGAAATATTTCCTGCATTTTTTTTCTTTTTAATATAGCACCAGAAGGATAGCTGTAGAGCAGGTAATCAGTAGCTTTGCTGTGGTGTGTGTTTCAATTGAAAAATCTTTTTTTTTCTGAAATATTTGCACTTRGAGCAATGAAAATAAGAATTTATCTATGAAGTGAAAAACCATTTATTTCCCTAGTTTAAAAACCTGCTTTTCCAGGTTTACATTATGTTTAGCTGCTGTTGCTGAGCCTTCTTCATCCTTACTAGTTAGGGGAACTTGAAACACTGCGTGTGGGAGTGACTGATGAGTGGTTCATTTCATATTTTAGTGTGTCCTGGACCCAGACACATCTGAGCCAACTGACATCCTTACTGAGCAAGCTAGAGAATTCTGCCAGAAGAGGGGCAGTAAAGCCACAAGGGTATCGGAGATCGTAGCTACGAGGGACCGGGCGATTTACCAGGCCATTCAGGAGGCAATCAACAAAGTCAACGTGAATGCAGTTAACAGAGTGCATTGCATCCAGAAATGGGAGGTCCTGCCAAGAGATTTTTCCATTTCTGGAGGAGAACTAGGTAAGATTTGCTAATTTATGTTGAGGTATGTACACAGTAGTGATTTGAACCATGCCATGAGTGCTGCAGTGCGTGTGAGAGGGAGCAAGTTACGCAGCATGTATAGAAACAGGAGATTTCTCTCTRTGTATGAAGGTAAAAATCTTTACTCATCTACATGAACACAAATTGCAGTGGAATTTCAGATTGTATTGAGCAATTAAATAACTAGTTCTAATTAATGCCTTATGCATTGATGCGGTTATATCTTCCAACATAATACTGAAAAAAATATTAAAAATAGTAGTGAAACAGAAAGCCTGATAAGAGTCCCAAGTGAAAGACACGTTACTTTTTCAAATCCTTTGAATAAACTGAGAATTGTTAAAAGTTCTTCAAAAAATTCATCATTTAAATTATTAAGACAAAATGGGAGGAGTTGTCCATTACCTCCTTGTTTTAGCTGCACCTGCCTGTCACATACTCRCATTTATTTGGAGGCAACCTCATGCTTTCTTCTCACTTTTAGCAGATACTTACAGAGTAACAGATATATTGTATTAAAGTGCAGGTTGGGAAGGATGTCATGACCCAAAACACAAATCCGGTAGGAATTTTTGTTCTGATTTCTGCTACTGTGACAAATTTCTTTTAAGGTCCGACAATGAAATTAAAAAGACTCACCGTGCTTGAGAAATACAAAGATGAAGTAGACTCCTTCTATGAAGAGTAAGAAGCATTTCTTCCAAGCATTAAATAACATCTGTGAGCTAAAGAACCTCCTAATCAATACCATTAATGAAAATCTGTGCTTCTATTTTGATTTTGTGATCTGTTGAACTGATGCACTTGAGAACTACTATGTTAATTTAGTTATTCTCCTGGCACTCACCTGCTAGGCAGGCTGAATATATATTTCATAATATAAACTATTCGTAAACTGTTTTCTAATGCTGATTTTCCTTTAGGTCCGAAATAAAAAAACTTAAAAACATCTTAATGTGTTAAGTGSCTATAACTTAATTCGTCTAGATGGAAATAGATGAAGACTATTACACTGTGTTTTTGTTGTCTGCAAAAGACTGCCTGTAGCTCATGTTGTATTTTGATTGTAGTAAACAATACTGTAAAAATGTTATTGCACAGTGATAAAGATTATTATTAAAAGATTATTAAAAGAGCAGGCCTATTCTCCCTCTAATTTGTATTTTTGTTCTCTTAGCARGAAAATTCGGAGCCTAGAAGCATGCGCCTCTCTACTTTTAGTGCCCAAACTTAGAGATTTTGTGAACGCAGCAGCTCATTTATTGAAATTCATATTGAAATAAACATTACTCTTTCCCCTAATGACATACAAATCAAGAAATGTTGGATAATAGCTCCATGAGACTAAAACCCACAAAGTAGCAAATACAGGAGCTCTTATATAAAGTGCTATTTAGAACAGAAAATTCTTCACAATTGTCTTTRTGACATTTTCTGTAATGTGTTGGAAAGCATGCAAGCTTGTTATTCTGTTGCAACTCTTTAGCTGCAATATTCACCTTGTAATAAGCGTGACAACCATAAACTGCATTTCTTCATCAAAAATTTTAAATAATTATGCGAATTATGTGTTTAAATAATTATGCGAAGACCATAATTAGAAACAAAGCTTCCTAAAGAGTCTGCTGTTAGTGATCTTTGGCAGAGCCCCTTCRGTAGGGGCTAATCCCAGCACAGTCTACACTGCTATTCTTGACTAAAACCAAAACACAAAACCCGGTCCTTTCCCCGAAAGTTCCAATATGCCACATTACACAACATACACACTTAAAACTTACTACAGTCACCTGTAAAATCAGACAAGACAGCAGCCTAGGCTTACAAAACACAAAAAGAAGCAATAGGACTTTGAAAAGACCTTATTTGTTTTTTCCATTTTGTATGTAGCGTTGCTCAGAATTTCTTTAACTGGAATAATCTAAAGGAAACATGGAAACAACAGCAACAGTATATGCATTCAAATTGAGTTAAAACTCTGTTTCAGATAGAAACCAATTTGGTGTCTCACAGGAAGAAATGTTTCCCTATTAACCAAGCACAGAGTGCACAGGGAAAAAAAGCTCATTTCCCTGTGCTGTATGGCTGTGCACAAGGTTGGGATGCTTATGTTATGGAGTGAGATTAGATGAAGTTAGCTCGAAGGCTTTTGTGCAGCCTTCCTCAGCCTCCAGGCRCACTAGGTCCGGGAGGCCCTACGGTCATTTGCGCAGCCTCCCCGGACCTCCATGTGCGCTGGGCTGGGGGACTTCATGGGTGTTGGTGTGGCCTCCCTGGGCATCTGTGTGCGCTTGGCTGGAGGGGCTCTGTGGGTTTTCGTGTGGCCCCYTGGGACATTCATGTGCACTGGGCTGGGGGGCCTCTGAGGGTTTTCATGTGGCCTCCCTGGGCCYTTGTGCTCATTGGGCATCAGGGGCCCTAGGAGCTTTTGTGCAGCCTCTCCACCATGCGCRCTTGGCCGAGGAGATTCTAAGGGCTTTTGTGCATCCTCCCAAGGTCCCTGTGCACACTGTGCCGGGGAGACCTACAGGCTTTTGTGCAGCCTCCCTAGGCCTCTGTGCACACCTGGCTCTGGGGGCTTTATGTACTTCCGTGTGCCTCACTGGGCCTCCGTGTGCACTGAGGCTCAAGGGCCCTACAGGCATTAGTGCAACTTGCAGGGCCTCTGTGTGCACTGGACTCTGGGAGTCCTCAGGGATTTTATGTGGCCTCCCTGGGCCTCCAAGGTGAATGGGCTGTGGGGGCCCTATGGGAATTCACGTGGCATCCACAGGCCCCTTGGGGGCCCACTGGACACCAGGGACCCTGTGGAATTATGTGGTCTTCCTCAAGGGTCCCTTGGGGGCCTACACCTTTCATGAGGCCTCCCCAGGCCACTGTGCACAGTGTACCAGGGAGGCTGCACAGAAGGCCAGAGTGCCCCAGGAGGCAGGTGCACACAAGAGGACCAGGTAGTCCATAGGAACATACACAGGGCACTGGGGACAGCGTGCACGGAATCTTGGCACAGCCACACAAAAGCCTAGAGGGTGCCTGGGCACGGCTGTGCATGGAGGCCCGGGGAGGCCGCACGAAAGTCCGCAGGGCCACCAGGACCAGCTGCGCACGGAAGCCCGGGGAGGATGCACGAATGCCCGCATGGCCCTTCGGGGCATGTACGCATGGAGGCCTAGAGAGGCCAAATGAAAGCCCACAAGGCCCGTGGGGCAATGTGAGCACGGAGGCTCAGTGAGGCCGCACAAAAGACCTCAGCGCCCCCGGGGCCAGCTGTGCATGGAAGCCCGGTGAGATCGCACAAAAGCCCGCAGGGCCCTCTGTTTAACATGCGCATGGACACTAAGGAAAGCCACACAAAAGCCCACACATCCCCTGTGGTAATCTGCGCAGGGAGGCTCGGGGACGTCGCACGAAGCCTGCAGGGTCCCCAGGGCCAACTGTGCACGGAGGCCTGGGGAGGCCACACGAAAGACMACAGAGCCCTTGGGGCCAGCTACACACGGAGACCTGGGGAGGGCACACGAAACCCTACAGGACCCCGGGGCCAGCTATGCACGGAGGCCAGGGGAGGCCAGACGAAAGTGAGCAGGCCCTTTTCGGCCAGCTGTGCATGGAGGCCCGGGGAGGCTGCACRAAAGCCCGGAGGGCCTGGGGCGCCAGCAGCACACGGAGGCTTGGGGAGGCCGCACGAAAGCCCGGAGGGCCCGGTGTGCCAGCTGCGCATGGAGACCCGGGGAAGTCGCACGAAAGCCCAGAGAGCCCCTTGGGAGAGCTGCACACAGAGCCCCGGGGAGGCTGCACGAAAGACCAGAGGGCTCGAGGGGCACAACTGCACACCAAGGCCTGGGGAGGCTGCATGAAAGCCTAGAGGGCCTGAGGAGGCTGAGCACAGAGGCCTGGGGAGGCTGCATGAAATCCCAGAAGGCCTGGGRGCCAGCTCCGCACGGAGGCCCAGGGAGGCTGCACAAAGCCCACAGGGCCCGGGTGAACAGCTGCGCATGGAGGCCCCGGGAGGCTGCACGAAAACCCGGAGGGCTCAGRGGGCAAGCTGTGCACGGAAGACCGTGGAGGCCGCAMGAAAGCCCAGAGGGCCTGGGGGGCCAGATGTGCACAGATGCTTGGGGAGGCCGCACAAAAGCCYGGAGGGCCCAGGGAGCCAGGTGCGCACGGAGGCCCAGGGAAGCCACACGAAAGCTCGGAGGGCCCGGGGGGCCAGCTGCACATGGAGGCCCGAGGAGGCTGCACGAAAGTCCGGAGGGCCCAGGGGSCCAGCTGCGCACAAAGGCCTGGGGAGGCCGAATGAAAGCCTGGAGAGCCCGGGCTTCACCTCAGTGATTACTAAGCACAGAATCTGCAGAGGTTTAGGGCATTGAGGTTATTATTAGGGTTCTTGCCCGTTAGCACTGTCTCCTGTGCCACCTATAGCACTTACAGACTGACGTGTTCATGAAAACGCCTCTAGAGAGCTCTATAGTTCCTCAGTTCTGGCCTTGCCTATACTGAGCTAGCAGGGGAGAAGGGAATCTCTGGCCTCCCTGCTGTATTTCCTGCTTTCCCTGGTGAAGTTGGGATCTTTGTTCTGTGCAGGGAGGCTCACTGCAGTGTGTGCTGCTGAACAGGCAATGAATGCAAGGTCCCCTTGTCACCTTGTCACTGCTCCTTGAGCCTCATCAACACAGGCCAGATAGAGGCACTCCACAAGTCCTTGAATTTCTCTCTCTCAGCCCTGGAGGGCTTAGAAGTTATGTGTTCATTAACTTCTACATAGCTCTGTGGGAAAG